CCAAGGTTCTCATCACCTTTAGTGATGATGTTTAATAATGAAATGTCATCAGTGGGACTTCCCTGGAGGTCCAGTACTTAGGACTCTGTGTTTCCACTGCAAGGGGCACAGCTTCCATCCCTGGTTGGGGAACCAAGATCCCACATGCCGCATGTGGTGTGGCCAATAAAAAAGAAAAAATTATAATAATGACATCATCAGTTATTCGGGAAAGGCAGATCAATGCCCTGATGAGATACCATTTCAGCCTGCTGTGCTATGTGTGCTCAGTTGGATCCAATTCTTTGAGACTCCACGGACTGTAGCCCTCCAGCCTCCTCTGTCCATGGGATTCTCCAGGTAAGAATACTGGAGTGGGTTGCCATTTCCTGCTCCATTTCAATCCACGGGAGCAGCTCAAATAGAAAATACTGACACCACTGAATGCTGAGGGGAGCGTGGAGCCACTGGAATGTTTATCAACTGCAGGCAATAGTGATAACTACAACCACTTCAGGAAGCTGTTAGGGCACTGAGGGTGAACACCCAGAAAGATACCTGGTTCCTCTGCTCGGCCTGTAGCCAAGGGAATCAAGTGCTTCTGTCCAAAGATGCAGACGGGAATGTAGTCCTGTTCCTACAGTCCCAAGTGCCTGACAGCAGGAGAATGAGTGGCCAGTGGTGGTATATTCATGAGGTGGGATGCTACACAGCCACAAGGACTGAGATAAATCTCCAAAACAGTGCTGAGTGGGAAAAGGAGTAAATGCTCTGGTTATACGTTTATTTACTTTTTTAATTAATTAACTTTAATTATTTTGGCCACATTGCTCGGCATGCAAAATCTTAGTTCCCCAACCAAGGGTCCAACCCATGTCCCTGGCAGTGAAGTGTAGAGTTTTTTTTTTTCTTTTTTAAATTTGACTGCACCAGGTCTTAGCTAGAGCATGTAAGACCTAGTTCCCTGACGAGGGATGGAACCCAGGACCCCTGCATTGAGAGTGTGGAGTCTTAACCACTAGACCGCCAGGGAAGTCCCTGTGATTATGTATTTAAAGAGCAAAAAACTGGCATAACCTCTATGCCATTAGGCCACTGTTAGGGTGGGGCAGGGAGAAAGCAATGGCACCCCACTCCAGTACTCTTGTCTGGAAAATCCCATGGATGGAGGAGCCTGGTAGGCTGCGGTCCATGGGGTCGTTAAGAGTCAGACACGACTGAGCGACTTCACTTTTACTTTTTGCTTTCACACATTGGAGAGGGAGGTGGCAGCCCACTCCGGTATTCTTGCCTGGAGAATCCCAGGGACGGGGGAGCCTGGTGGGCTGCTGTCTATGGGATCACACAGAGTCGGACACGGCTGAAGTGACTTAGCAGCAGCAGGGTGGGGCAGAGGGGGTGGGACTTAGCAACTGGATGTGTCCCCAGTGGGGTTTGGGAGGTCTGATCTGAGAGCTGGCCGCATATGTGGGTTCAGTCTGGAAATCACCACATTGTCCACTTCCACAGTTTGTGCCCTTTCCTAGATGTGTATTTACATATCAACAAGCTAAAAAAACAATAAACAGGTATTTTACTGGTGGGGAAACTCAAGGCACAGGGATGGGGAGGCCAGGGTCACACAGGGTGGACTTGGGCTGATTGAAGACTGGAACGTGGCCTCTGGGTGTCCATTCTTCACCACCCGCATCCTGCCTGTACGCCCCCTGCAGAGTCGGCCATGGAGAGGGACCGCTACATGAGCCCCATGGAGGCCCAGGAGTTCGGCATCTTGGACAAGGTTCTAGTCCACCCCCCACAGGATGGGGAGGACGAGCCGGAGCTGGTACAGAAGGAGCCGGGGGAGCCAACAGCGGTAGAACCCGCCCCAGCCAGCACCTGAGAACTGGCCTCCCTCTCGCCCTCCCAGGGAGAGCGGAGGTGCCTGGCCTGCGAGCCCCTCCACACTGAGCCTGGAGGGGCCCCTTGAGGAACTGTGGATATGGGGGTGCCCCTGTGGGTGGGTAGCCCAGCTGAGACACTGTGATTTTAAATTAAATCTTTGTAGCCTTTGCTCCTGGCTCTGGCGCCTTCCCTCTGGCGTCTACCCTGGCTCATGTGTGCCTTCACCCTGACCTTCATCTTGAGCAGAGCTAAGAGCTGGCATGACACTCCAGACACTGCTCCAGAGGCCACAACTTACTGTGAAGAAGACACAGAAGTCCCCGTCCTGAAGAAACTTACATTCTTGAGAAAGTAGACAGTTGCTTTTTTTTTTAAATCAGGGAAAGAAGTATGCAGTGTTTGTGTGTGACAAGAGTGAGATGAGGTGGCCTGCATAGGCCTTGCTGAGAAGGTAACATTAGAGCAAAGATCTGAAGGAGGTAAGGGTGGGGGGAGCCAGATTGCTATCTTGGGACACAGCAGGCCTGGCAGAAGGCATGGCAAGTGCAAAGGTCTTGTGGCAGGACTATGCCTGGCACATGAGGGGAACCACAAGGGAGCTGGGGTGGCTGGAAGGAGGGAGGGAGGGAGTGAGGGGAAGAGTAGAGATAAGAGCTGGAAGAGGAAGAGTATGGATCATAAAAGGTCTGGTAGGGCTTCCCAGATGGCTCAGTGGTAAAGAATCCACCTGCTGAGATTTGATCCCTGGGTCAGGAAGATCCCCTGGAGGAGGAAATGGCAATGCACTCCAGTATTCTTGCCAGGACAATCCCATGGACAGAGGAGCCTGGCAGGGTACAGTCCATGGGGTCGCAAAGAGTCAGACACGACTTAGTGATTAAACAGCAGCAGGTCTGAGATAGGAGGGAGATGCCCCATGGAGGGTTTCAAGAAGAGGAACAGGGGCTGGAGAAGGAAATGGCAACCCAGTCCAGTATTCTTGCCTGGAAAAGTCCATGGACAGAGGAGCCTGGCGGGCTGCAGTCCATGGGGTTACCTGACTGCATGAGGGTGGAGGGAGATGGGTTGGTAGCAATAAAGTTGTAGAACTGAAAAAAAAAAAAAAAAAAAAGGAACAGGGGACTTCCCTGGTGGTCCAGTAGCTAAGACTCTGCACTCCCAGTGCAGGGGGTCTGGGTTCGATCCCTGGTCAGGGAACTAAGATCCCACATAGTGCAACTAAGCCTGAATGCTGGAACTCCTGAAGCTGCACCACAACAAAGACCCAGCACAGCCAAAAGAAAAAGAAGAGGAACAAAAAGGAACCACAGAGTGGTGGGTGGAGGGCTGGCCAAGCACAGAAATCTGGAGCGAGGAGACTTGGTACCACCCAGAGGAGGAGTGACCTGGCCCCAGCCACATGGTGAGAGAGGTCAGTTTCCAGCCAGGTTTTAAAGGCAGGGCTTACAGGTAGGATGTGAGATTTGAGAGAGAATGAAATCTCCCAAACTCCTAGGTGTTGGCCCAAAGCAGCCAGAAAGATGGAAAGAAAGATAAGATGTTTCCAGGAGAGCTGGGGGGAGGAGCAGGGGTCAGGATCAGGAGTTGATTTTGGATGTCTGTAAGTCTAGTGTGCCTCCCCCGCTCCCCTTGGGTTTCCATTCCCTTCTCCAGGGGATCTTCCTGACCCAGGGATCGAACCCGCATCTCTTGCAGTAAGAAGCAGGTTCTTTACCACTAGTGCCACCTGGGAATGGCCTTCAGTAAGACCACTTTTAGTACTAGGGGGCCAAAAGCCAGGTTGGAGTGGACCCAGAGAGAAGGGGCTGGAAAATACTGGGAGCTAGACAAGTTTTTCAAGGAATTTTGCTGTCAGAGCAAAGAACAATTTTTGGTTTTTGTTTTTTTTTTTAAATATAGAGGACTTTTTAATTTGGCTTCATTCATCGATTACATTTGGTTGAACTTTTTTATTCTGTGCAATTTAAAATATATACAAAAGTGGAGAAGACCCTTGTGGTCCATTGGTTAAGAATGGCCTGCCAATGCAGGGGACACAGGTTTAATCCCTGGTCCGGGAAGATTCCACATGCTTCAGAGTAACTAAGCCTGTGTGCCACAACTACTGAAGCCGACATGCCCTAGAACCCATGCTCCACAAGAGTCACCACCACAATGAGAAGCCTGTGCACCAAAACTAGAGAGGAGCCCCTGCTCTCCACAACTAGAGAAAAGCCCGCACAGCAATAAAGCCTGGTCCTGCAAAAAAAAAAAAAAAAATCACCTGTAGTAATTTTTTTTTAAAATAGGAAAAAAAAAGTAGAGAAACTAGAATAATGAGGTCTCATGTACCCACCACACCAACTCATGGCTGATTATGACTCGTCCCTCCCCTACCTCTACAGAGCCTCTACCATGGCTTTGTAGTACTTTGAAGCAAATCCCAGCTTTTCATTTCATCTGTAATATTTCAGTATGTATTTCTAAAAGGATAAGAAATTTTATTTCTCAAAAATACTAAAAACAGAATAACCACATGACCCAGCAATTCCACTCTTTTTGGTATATATATAAAAAAAAAACAAAACCACAAACACTATTTAGAAAAGATAACATGCATGCCAATGTTCATGGCATTATTTACAACTGCCAAGATACAGAAGCAATCTAAGTGTCCATCAACAGATGAATGGATAAAGAAGATACAATACAAAAAAAAAAAAAGAAGATACAGTACATATACACAATGGAATATTATTCGGCCATAAAAAAGAATGAAATAATGCCATTTGCAGCAACATGTATGGACTTGGAGGGTATTATGCTAAGTGAGTTAATCAGACAGACATTCTGTATCATATCACTATTATGAAGAATCTAAAAAATAGTCAACAAAACAAAACAGACTCACACAGAACAAACCAGTGGTTACCAGTGGGGAGAGGGAAGGAGGAGGGGCAATATAGCTGTAGGGAATTTTTTTAAAAAGGTGATTATTATGAGAGTCTATGAAATAATGCGTGTGTGAAACTTTTAAAAACTGTAAAGTGCTACAGAATTTATAAAATGTTCAAAAAAGGTTAATAAAGGACAAGGAATCTTTGTCCTGAAGAAGACAACCACAATATCATTTTCAACCAGGAAAAAATAACACTTACCGTGGTCGAATATTCAACCGCGTCCAAATTTCCCTGGTGATCACTATTTTTTTTTTTTTTAATTTTTCCAATCAGGATCCAAATAAGGTGCAGGCATTGCCACTGGCTGATAAATCTGTAAGTGTCTTGTTATTGCGATTTTTCCCTTTAGTCTCTCAAATCTCTCTCTCCCTCTTTTTCTTCTCTTTTCTTGAACTTAACTTGTTGGAGAAACAGGGTCGTGTGTCTTATGAACTTTCCCTCTGAATTTTGAGGATGCGAGTCTGTCCTTGGTACTTTCGGTACCTGGTGTCTGAATCTAGACAAGTTTGATCCGATTCAGGTTCCGCTTTTCCGCCGATTACCTCGGCGTGAGGGTGGCTTCTAGCAGAAGATATTTTAAAACCAGTTGTCTAAGGGCTGAAAAATGATGACCTTCCAATTCTACCATTAAAGGGAGAGGAGTTTTTGCTTACTGTTTTTAAACAAAGTATATAAACAGTTTATATACTGTTTTAAACTGGAAGCCAACCTGTTTGTATGCGGATGAGGGAGAGGGGGGTCGGAATGGGAGGCGCCTCGCCTTGACCTTTGACTGAAACCCCTAAGTCCACAAACCTGGTCCCACCCCATAATCGTAGCCTTAATGTCACTCCCGTAACTCCTACAGCTCAGCCTGACCGGACTCTAGCCTTAACTTCATAGCCTTGGCCCAATCCTTCTCTGACCCTTGACCTCTGACCCCCGAGCATAGCTAGCCTTTGACACAACCGCCCTCTGGAAGACGGACCTGAGGCACAACTAGTAGTCTGAGTCTCTGTGGTCGAAAGGGCCCAATAGCGCCGGAGAGGAGGCAGGTTCTGGGAAGAGCCAATAGCTTGAGAGGACGAGCCGAGTAACAACCAATAACCCTTGAACGAGAGGCGGGACTCTGAGGAAAGCCAATTGCTGGAGGGACTCGGTGCAGCCACAGCCAATAACCCTGGGAGGGGCCGTGGCCCTGGCCCCACCCTCTTCCAAGACCCGGCTCCGGGGCTATGGCCGGAGGTGGGCAGGTGGTACTGCGGACGCTTTCCCAGCAGGGCTGGGTGCGGGGCTCGGGCGCAGCCGTGCTGAGCCGCCTACAAGACGCGGCAGTGGTGCGGCCCGGCTTCCTGAGCGCGGCCGAGGAGGAGACACTGAGCCGCGAGCTGGAACCCGAGCTGCGCCGCCGCAGATACGAATACGACCACTGGGATGCGGTGAGGCGGGTGGCGCTGGGGCGGAGCCACCGGGGCGTGGCTTGGGACGTTAGAGACCGGGCGGGAGTGGAGCGCTGGGGTGGGCGGGGCTTCATCTGGGCGGGGCCTGGGAATGGGGGCGCGGTCTTGATACTTGGGGTCTTGGGGGCTGGAAGAGCGTTTTGGAGATGTGAGCAGGGCCATAACGAGGCAGAACCGAGGGGGTGTTTGAGGGACAGGACCAAAGTTAGGGGTGGAAACGGGTGTGGAGCGAGATAAGGGAGGGTCACGGGTTGAGGGGTGCTGACCGGGGACCCGGTGAATCAAGTTGTGAATATTGGAACCGGGCCAACGTTAGGGATGGAATGTGGGTCTGAACTGGACCCTGATGGTGAGTAGAAAGGACTAAAGCCAGACCCAGATGTGGCAGGGGTTGGGATTTGAGAAAACATCATGGGGTAGATAGAATCAAAGCTGAGAATTGAGGGTTGGGGTCAAGTGTCATCCTGGAAAAACCAGGCCTTTGCTTTGCACTTCCACCACCCTCCCCCCAATCCCTCCCCAGCCCTGGAAGCTTCCAGGCTTGACCTGAGTGCTCTGGGCAGGCCATCCACGGCTTCCGAGAGACAGAGAAGTCGCGCTGGTCAGAGGCAAGCCAGGCCATCCTGCGGCGTGTGCAGGCAGCTGCCTTTGGACCTGGCCAGACGCTCCTCTCCTCAGTGCACGTGCTGGACCTAGAACCTCAGGGCTACATCAAGCCACACGTGGACAGCGTCAAGGTGGGCAGAGGGCAGTGGCTTGGAGCTCCCAGCTGGGGATGGGCTGGCCAGGCCAAAACCCACCCTCTACCATGTCCTCTCTTCCAGTTCTGTGGATCCACCATTGCCGGCCTATCCCTGTTGTCTCCTAGCGTCATGCGACTGGTGCACACCCAGGAGCCAGGGGAGTGGCTGGAACTCTTGCTGGAGCCGGGCTCCCTCTACATTCTTAGGTATTGGCAGCCAAGGAGCCTGCACTCCACCAGTAACTCACAAGACACCCACTCAACATTTGGAACACCTTCTGTCATTCAGCCATGATAGCAGACTCTACCCCTAGGGCTGGTCTGCCTGGAACCAGGGCTGCCCTCACCAGCCACATCCTCTGTTTTCTCCTGCAGGGGCTCAGCCCGCTATGACTTCTCCCACGAGATCCTTCGGGATGAAGAGTCCTTTTTTGGGGAGCGTCGGATTCCCCGGGGCCGTCGCATCTCGGTGATTTGCCGCTCCCTCCCTGAGGGGATGGGGCCAGGGGAGCCTGGGCAGCCGCCCCCAGCCTGCTGACCCCCTGGACCATTACCCCAAGCTGTTCAGGACACTGTGTTTGTGAATAAAGTTGTGAATACTGTTGGAGAATGGACAAGCTGGCCTCCTGTTGCCAGCTGTTTGCAAGAAGGCCAGGATCTGCAGGGGAAACCCAGGAACTCACCTGCCTCCCCTCCTCCCCCTTCCCCAACCAGGAGCATTCCCGGCTGAACACACAGTCATAAGGCTGGAGGAGCAGTTTCCTTTATTGAGCCCCTTGCTGGTGGCCCCAGCCCACCTTCCCTTCTCTTCGCCTCGGCCTCTGGGCCTCCAGTAAATAAGTCAGCTGAGCTTCTCCAGCGGCTGCAGGGCTCCGGGTCGGCCATCCTTAGCCACCGCAGCCACAGGCCGCTGCTGAGAGCTGGGGCAGCCGCTGCCAGCGGTGGCGGTCATCGAGAAAGGTCACGTCGGCGTAGCGGGTGGGCCGGCAGCAGGGTCCTCCATGGGCTCGGCCCTGGCCCCGCAGTCGGGCCAGCGTCAGGCCGTGTTGGGTGCGGGCACCGCGAGGACAACTGCCAGCGCAGTAGCGGAAGATGACCGTCTCCTCTGACATGTAGCCCAGGCCCAGCTCAGCCACAGGCAAGGACAGGCTCCACAGCTGGCACGGGCTGGTCAGCGATCGGCGCAGGCGGGCTCCTGCAGGGACAAGGGGCAGCTGACAGCAGGCAGGGTCTGGGCAGAAAGGAGTTGGGGAGCGCACGGGGTTCCGGGAGTCCTTACCCGGTTGTGGCCTCTGGGTCTCTCTGTCCACCGCTGGCTCAAATGAGAGCTCTCTCTCCGCCACCAGAGCCTCCCAGGCCCCCCGGCTTCCACCAAGGTCCAAGTGGAGGATCAGGAGAAGCAGAGAGCCTAGCAAGACTCTTCCTGTGGCCATGGTGACGGTCAGGTCCTGAGGATGCGGATGCCCGGCACCCTCAATTTATCCCCTCTCTGCCCAAGCTGGGGAATTAACCTCATCACTTCCGGCTGCTGCTCGTTGCAAAGGCTCCAACGTCGCACACCTCGGGCCCAGGCAGCCCCACTCCCCTGCCTCACATCCCATCCTTCCAAGAGTTAAGGGCGCACACCCCCTCACACACACACCCCATCCAGACATTCCACAGACCCATGTCCAACACCCCCTACGCCCCCTGATTTATGAGGGCTGTGTCGGCAGCCAGGGCCGAGCTCAGAGAGGGCAACTCAGGGTCCCCACCCCACCTGCTGTCTGGAGGGAGGGTTGGGGGGCCCAAGGGTCTCCCAGTGGGGGTCCTCCCCTCTCGGGCAGGGTGCTGGGGCCCAGTAGCCCCCACATTGTGCAGCAGATAGAGCGGATGTGCATGCAGGGAAGAGGTGGGTGAGCTGACGGGGAATCCATCATGGCTCCTGCCTGGAGGATTAAGACATCATGCCCTGCCTCCGGGTCTGGCCCAGGCAGTATCAAAACAGGAAAAGGGAGAGGCCTGGGGACAGCCAAGAGCTGGGACACAGGGGCAGGAAACTCACCTTGCAGGGGCTCCTGTCTCTAGAAGGCCAACCTGAGTCCCCTGGGACCCCAGCCCTACCTGGGGTTGGAGGGCATCAGAGCAGGAGGGGAGGTTAAGCCCCGCCCTGGTTCCGGCAATCTCCCAGCCCTTCTCCATCACCCTGGGGAAGCGAGCCTCCATCCTCAGCCATGAAAGGGGGCTAACAGAGGCCCTCCCACATGAGGTCTTGAGGACAAACAGAAGACATATTTAGTGTGTATCAGGGTGCCTGGTACTGAGCAGTTGAGAGCCTCTTAGAAGCTTCCCTGGTGGCTCAGGTGGCAAAAAATTCACCCGCAATGGAGACTCGGTGTTCGATCCCTTGGTTGGGAAGATCCCCTGGAGAAGGGAATGGCTACCTACTCCAGTATTCTTGCCTGGAGAATCCCATGGACAGAGGCGGCTGGTGGGCTACAGTCCATGGGGTTGCAAAGAGTTGGACACAACTGAGCAACTAAGCACACAGAGAATGCTTGAGGCAAAGGAAATAAGAGCATCTTTTTTATTTTCAATTTTTAAAAAATTTTAGGACATGTCCTGTGTCATGCAAGATCCCGAACAGGGGATCCAACTTGTGTCTCTGCATTGGGAGCCCAGAGCCTTAACCACTGGACCACCAGGGGAAGTCCTGAAATACAAGCAATTTGTGTAGGTTTGACAAGGTGCTTGAACTCAGTGCAGGCAAGACCAGATGAAAACTCAGGTGAGACTGCCCCTAAGACCGGCAAACATCAGAGTCTGCTTACACGTGGCTGGGTGTGTGTGTGTGTAATGGGCACGCCTGTTGGTAGCAGTGTAAACCAGTGGCAGTTGAACACTGGCTACAGAAACCACCAATCCCATCCCTTTGATCCAGGACACGTGCTTCAGGAGCTCATCCATTTCAGGTGAGCCAAGATGCAAGCTCGGGGCTTTTTGCTGCCCTTTGTATCAAGAAGTAGGAAAAGACCGCAGCGCCACCCACGGGGGGCTGTTTCAGTGATTTTGGTGTGCTTTTTTCTTCTCAACTGCTTGTTGAGACTACTTTCAGATGGGTGTCGGTGGGAGGAATGTCACTTATCCAAAGTCACCCAGAATTAAGAGACACAGGTGGGGTTTGAACCCCAAGTCCTACTGAATGCAAGACTCCTGATGTGAACCACTGGGGCACATAGACCGGTGTGGTGGGGGAGGCCTCAGACCTCGGTCCACATGGCAGGCAGAGCAGGGGTGAAATTGTCAGGGTAAGGGACAGGCACTTCCTTCACAAAAGTCCTGGCGGAAGGATGGGAGGGAGGTTGGAACGAGCTGGGACATTCCTGGGAATTAGCCGGCCATCTCAGGCATTCCGGCTCGGCAGCCAAGGGCATGTAGAACTGGGTGGGGAGGTTTTCCACCTGCCGTCTCCAGCATCCTGCCACCAGCCGGATCACTCAAACGGATTTCAACGTTGTTCCTGCTGCCAAGTTCCATTTCCAGCAACGAGACTCCACAAACGCAAAGAACCCTCTTGCTTACAGAATGCCTAGCCATACTGGATAAAATAAACACCTTACCAACTTGTGAGACTCTAAGGGAAGCCCCAGAAACCCCACTGGGAAGTTGAAAAGTAGGGTCCAGATGCCAAGACCAGTAACAGGGGTTTGGGATTTTGTGGCCATTTGGGACAGAATCAAGAGCTGAGAATCTTAGAATGACACATATGGGGCATGTGTGCATGCTAAATTGCTTCAGTCGTTTCCGACTCTTTGTGACCCTATGGAGTGTAGCCCGCCACCCTCCTCTCTCCATGAGATTCTCTAGGCAAGAATACTGGAGTGGGTTGCTGTGTCCTCATCCAGGGGACCTTTCCAACCCAGGGATCAAACCCAGGTCTAAGGCTCCTGCACTGGCAGGCGGGTTCTTTACCACTAGCGTCACCTAGAAGCCACTTCTGGGGCACCTGGTAGGCACATGCAAAAACCATCTGGAAGAACTTGCCTGGGACTTCCCTGGTGGTCCAGTGGCTAAGGCTCCATGCTCCCAATGCAGGGGGCCCAGGGTCTGATCCCCGGTCAGGGAACTAGATCCCACATGCTGCAACTAAGACCCAGCACAGTCAAATAAATAAATAAAAACAAATATTATTTAAAAAAAAAAAAAAAAGAACTTGCCTGCAAATCAGGCCACCCAGGAGCTCCACAGACAGAACCTGGAACTAGGAACGAGTCTCCCATCCCAGGTCACAAACACAATCATAAAGAGGCACCAGAAAACAACAGGGTGCCCGTCTGCTTCAGGTACTAGGTGAGTGTGATGGAGACTGTAAGACAAGGATGTTTAAACTAACAATGGAAAAGAAGGCATCAAAAACAGAAGGGGCCATACACTCAAAACAGAGCCACTGATCTGAAAAAGAAAGATATTTGCAGAACTGAAAGACAGCAACACTGAGTACTTATGGGTTTGTGCACGTGTGCTCAATCATGTCCAACTCTTTGGGACCCCATGAACTGTAGCCCCACCAGGCTCCTCTGTTCATGGGATTTCCCAGGCAAGAATACTAGAGTGGGGTGCCATTTCCTCCTTCAGGGGAACTTCCTGACCCAGGGGTTGAACCTGCGTCCCCTGCACAGGCAGGCAGATTCTTTACTGCTGAGCGACCTGGGGAGCCCTACTTTTAATGGGTTCAGGTGGTGGATAAGCCACAGCTGAAGAGAGAACCAGACAAGTGGAAGACAGAGCTGAAAGAAATCACCCAGCAGCTCCATGGAGGAGGCTGAGGGGGTCAGGAGAGGATTAAGTTCTGCTGCTGCTGCTGCTAAGTCACTTCAGTAGTGTCCGACTCTGTGCGACCCCATAGATGGCAGCCTGCCAGGCTCCCCCGTCCCTGGGATTCTCCAGGCAAGAACACTGGAGTGGGTTGCCATTTCCTTCTCCAATGCATGAAAGTGAAAAGTGAAAGTGAAGTCGCTCAGTCGTGTCCGACTCTTAGCGACCCCATGGACTGCAGCCTACCAGGCTCCTCAGTCCATGGGATTTTCCAGGCAAGAGTACTGGAGTGGGGTGCCATTGCCTTCTCTGGAATTAAGTTCTAAGAGGCGTCTACAGACTGAGGGACAAGAGACAGCAAGTGTGGGGATGAAGACACTGAGGATTATGGAAAACAGAGCCTGTTTATTGGGGGCAGCATCACTCCTTGAGGGAGAAATGCATCTTGTCGTTGATCATCTTGCGCTCAGGGTTTAGGCGCTTCAGGATCTGAGCCAGCACATTCACTGTCTGCTCGCTGCTCAGCCCCGTCTTCTTGGTCTGGAACTTTTTCAGCAGGTCCTTGGTGGTCATGGGCTTCCGCGTCAGGTAGCGGCGCACGGCGTCTTCAGTCACTTGAACGTCGCCGCTGCTGGGGGTTGACTTCCCAGACTGGGGCTGAGGAGTGGATTTACCAGACAAGCTCTGGGGCCCGGTGTCCAGTCGCAGCCGCTTGGCTGCTGGTGTTTCGCTGGTGCGCTTCCCTGTGGGAGGTGGCGGTGGGACTGAGACTGGGTCTGGGAGGCTGGACCACTGGGTGGGGGGGGTAGGGGGAGAGTGCTGGGATCATGTGTGCAAGGGGCTCAGAGGATGCGGAACAGGAAGACCAGGATGGGGTCAAGAGGGCAGGGTAGGGTGGGCGGGGTGGGATGGGGCGCACTACTCACCCTGCTCCAGCTTGCTGGCAGCTGCCCGGAGGGTGGAAGAAGTACTGCCTGCTTCAGTGCTGGGCGTGCCTGGCCGGCTGTTACCCCGGGAACTGCCCCCTGATGGCTTCCGCTCCCTTTTGGGGGGCGTCTTCTTTTTCTGTGGAGATTGGGGCTGAGCACGCATGTCGGGAGAGGGTCCCCCCACCATCCTCCCTGGCCGGCCCTGCCTTGGCGAGGCCTTACCGCCATGAAGAGTGCCGAGGAGGCTTCGCTGTCGATGTCACTCTCCTCCGAGCTGTCGGACTCCTCGCTGCTGTCTGCAAGGGGCCAGAGGAGGGGGCGTCAGGACTGGAGACCCCTGAGCCAGCCCTCGGCCCTGTGCCAGATCGGGGCTCAGAGGGGCCAACCCACCTTTCCTCCGCTTCTTCTCCTGCGGCGTGGGCGCCTTCTTCTCCTCCTCCTCCTCCTTGTCCTCCTCGGGAGGCTTTTCCTCCTCGCTGTCTTCACTGCTCTCACTCTGCTCGTCCACGCCCTTGGGACCTTCCTCCTGCTGGGTGACCTTGGGCTTGCCCTCCAGCTCATCCTGGGAGCTGCTGTAAGACAGAGAGCGGGCAGAGGGTGAGTGAGCGCGTCCGCAGGCCGGCCCAGGGTCTCACACCCGCCTCCCGCCTGCCTCACCTGGAGCCATCAGACATGTAGTCCACCTCTTGGCCCTCGAAGTCCCCGTCATCACTGTCCTCAAAGGCCTCATCATCTGAGCCCTTCTTCTTCTTCTTTTTCCGGCCCCCCTTGCTGGGCGGTGCCTTCTTCTTGGCCTTGGGGGCTCTGCCACCTGGGGAAGAATACACGACGTGAGGGGCTCAGATGGACATGCATCGTGTTGTGTGTATCTAATGATGCCTGGACATCTCAGGGGCCGTGGTGATGCCAGGACCAGCCCCAATTCCTCTAGGAGGCAGAGAGCTGGCCCAGGGTTGTACCAATCACCCACTGCCAAGCAAGATCCCAACTCCACACCCCCAGCCAACCCCTTCCTCTAACTCACACTTAGGGCCGCCATCCCTGCCCTAAATCACCTGGGCCAGCCAGCCACTGGACAACCAGAGACCACCCCTTGGCCCAGAGCCTGCTGGTACGACTCAAACTGGCCAGTCCTAAGGCCATTCCCATGGAAATCCCAGTCGAGGCCATGGCCGAGAGAGACCTTCCTGGGGCCTCCTAACCAACCCTAGTGCTTCCCCCAGCGGCCAAACTCCTGAGGGAATCCAAGGGTCTGCAAGTAATCAAGCAATCCTTTCAGGGGCATTCACCTCTCTGAGTCATCACACAGGACCTGTATTAATTACAACTGCCACCCCCACCGCCCAGGGCTGGCTCCACCCGCCTCACCCTCCTCGCCGCTGGCCTCGCTGTCATCGGACGACATCTCCAGGTCGTCCTCCAGGTCGTGGATGCGCAGCTCGCTGGCCTTCTTGCGGCTGCGCTTCTCCTTCTCCTCGTCCTCCTCGTCCTGGTCCTGGTCTTTCAGTCGCCGCTGCTGCATGATGCTAAAGTGGTTCAGGACCTTGTTTCTCCTCTCCCACTCCTCCTCAGCCTCCTCGGCCGTGAGCGTGCGGTGCTTGGCCAGCGGCGTGAAGTTATACCAGTTGTGCACAGGGAAGGCCTCGAAAGCCCCATCAGGGCACTGGGTAAAGATGTAGTAGGAGGTGTTTTCTGTCACGCCGCCCTTCTTTATGCCCTTGAACTTGCGGCCCGATTTGCCGTTGACCCGCAGCAGCCAGGGCTGGTCCTCTGGCCGGAACTCCTTGAGGACAATGCCGTACTTCTTCCTCCGCGCCTCCTCCCGGAGCTTGCGATTGAACTCGCTGCCGGCGCCCGACTCAGGCATCTCCTCCTCTTGGTAAATCTTCTTGTTGCTCAGGTCTCGTTCCAGCCGGGCCTGGGAGGATGGAAGGCGACACTTCTCATCAGGGAGGCTGCTCCTCGTCCAAGATACCCCTTCCTCCCCACAGGCTGAGCGATGGACCCTCAGAGCCAATTTCCCGCTTGGCGAAAAGAGGCTCTGTGAATGTGGGCGAAGGGATCTGTCTAAAGCCTGCTGCGATATCTGTTTTTGCAGCTTTTTGAAAGTTTGAAGTTATTTCCAAATTTAAAAAAAAAAAGAAAAAAGACACCCCAGAGTCAAATCACTTGTAACCTGTTTGCTGCAAACCCCATCACAGGCTCACCTGGTCCAGAGCCTTCACCCCCGCCGTTCTCCCTTCACTTGCCCTCGACCCCACCGTGGACAAATCTCTTTACAGACTGTAACCCTTTAATGGCTTCTGCTATGGATGAATGTTTATGTGCCTCCAAAATGCATTCTTTTTGGCTGTGATCCGGGGCTTCTGGAATCTTAGTTCCCCCACCAGGGATGGAACCTGGGCCCCTGCAGTGAATGGGCTGGAGTCCTAGCTGGAGGTCTAACCGCTGTATGTTCAGGGAATTTCCCCAAAATGCATATAACCTAATCTCCAATGTGATGGTATGTGGGGGCGAGGCCTCTGATAGATGATGATTAGGTTATGAGGCTGCAGCCTATTAGTAATGGGATAAGTGCCCTCTTTAATAAAGGATTCCATAGTGTTGTGTCCCTCTTCTGCCAGGTGAGGGTACAGTGCAAATGCATCAGCTATGAACCAGGAAGCCTGCCCTCACTAGACACCAAATCTGCTGGCGCCCTGATTTTGGACTTCTAGCCTCCAGAACTGTGGGAAATAAACATCTGTTGTTTATAAACCACCCAGTCTCTGGAATTCTGCTAAAGCAGCCTGCAACAACTAAGACAGCTTCTAAAGACTGTTCTGGAGTCTCCGACAATGGGAGCTCTGTCACCTCTAGGAGGCAGCCCCCTCCTCTCTTGCCCAGATAGATCTCGACCCCAAATGCCCATCAATGGGCACAAATTTCAGGAGAAAACCTCCTGCACGGTCATACATTTCTTGCCCTCAGGGGTGTCCAGAGGCTCAGCCTGGGCCTTAGTTATCATTTATCTGCATATGGGGAGAGAGGAGGATACTAAGCCTTAGTTACTATCACAACCAAGCAACTATTACATCAAATCCAGGGTCAGGTTTTCTCACATCCTCAGAACTCGGACTTACCTGATTCCAAGTAGTGAGGTTGACTTTATCAGCTGCATTGAAAGCCATGATATTGTATTTTTTGGTGGTATTTCTGGAATGGACAAGAAAGAAGAGGCAGTGCTCAGTCAATCATTCATTAATTCAGTAAACCCTCCCAGGCTCAGTCCTTTGTGCTGGGCAACGCTAGGGACCCATGAAAAAACCCAGAGATCAGTTAGGGACAAATATTTCTGGGAACCCAAGATGGGATAATTGGGAACTAACTCAGCCTTGGGCAGGGGGGTGGACAGCCAGGGAATGCCTCCTGGAGGAAAATACTGTAACGGAATTTTGCAGGATCAAAAATATTCCACCCAGTAGAGTCACAGTTGCCATTCCTGGCTGAGGGAATCCTAGGCAGGGAGGTTGCGTGTTACTGTATATTAATGTACTCATTCATTCACTCTATTAAAAAAACAGTGATGCCCCAGAGGCCTCGGCTCAACCCCAGCCCTGGAAGAAGAATCAGACACTCCTGGAGGCTCGAGATTTAAACATTTTCTGGAGGGAGAGGGGGTTGGCAGGATCAGGGACTTACTTGGGAACTCGGACGACATACTCAGTGACATTCTGGCTGCTGGGGCCCTGAGGGGAGAGAAAGCAGGACAGTGTGTGAGAGGCTACAGAGGCCACCACCAGGACCGCAGTCGAACCGCCTTGCCGCACACTTACAAGGGCCGCCATGGGAGATGGGCGATTGACCCGGGTCCGGTCAGAACCTTTCTTTACGCCTCCTTCGGGGTGCGCGTCCCTCGGTCCCGCGGAGGCCGCCCTCAAAGTGTCGGGTCTCTGGCCTCGATCGCGGACCCTAAGCCCGGGATACAACCGATCCTGGGAAAAGCTATCCGGAGGCCGAGCTGGGTCGGCGATCAGCTAGAGACCGCCTGTGCCAAGTCTGCGCCTGCGCAGCCGCCTAAACCGGAATCGAAATCCTGCAGGCCTAGTCGAAGTAACCTACTCCGAACTGAAGGTAGCTAGCGCCTTCTGTATCTAGCGCTCTGGCGGCCCGCAGGGTATATATAATATCACGATAATTCCATCAAGCCGATAACCTCATCATGCGGGTAACCCAATCGGGTGGTGTGGGGACGCCCCCAGTGACATTACATCTCAGGACCGCGGGGTATCTTGGGAAGGAAGGGAGGAAACCCGCCACCCTTGCGGCCTGTCGGGCTATTTGCGCATGCGCCACTTTACTCCGGAAGTGAGTCCGAGGAGGCCGCGTTACCACAGCAACCGAGGCCTCCTTGGCAGCCAACTGCTGTGGCTCTACCTGAGCCTCTTTGGGGTTCATTTCTCCCCACTGCCCTCGGGGGTAGCCCTATCATCTCGCCAAAAAATCGGGCCAGGGGCTCTTGTGACGTTGAATCGAACCAGGAGGGGTCAGGGCCTGTGTAGGGGATGGAGCGCGATCATCCCACGGTCCGGAGGCGGGTTGGGTTTCTGCAAGTCCAAGCTGCCCCAAATGGGCAGGCCCCTGGGGCCCCAGAAGAAGGGAAACGTCGCAGGGGTGGCTGGCTTACTCGGGGGAAGGGAAGGAGGTCGTGGAGGGCGGAGAATGCAGGTAACCCCCCTCAAGTCCAGGTGTGCACACGCCCCTCCTCCCGGCCCCCTACGTTATAGTAACACAACAATCTCTTTAGACAGAGATTCGAGAAGACCTGAGGGGTGAGCTGCAACCTGAAGGGACTGCCGTATGGAATTCCAGCGGGGGTGGAGGTGGGGGAGGAGCAACAGGGAGGTGATGAGTACAAGGGTCCCAAAGGAGGCCACTGGGCCGAAACACAGTAAAGAAAGGGAGGGTGGTATGGTTTGAGACTGGAGGGGTGGACAAGTCCATGTCCATCTCAGAGCCTCAGTTTCCTCAACTGTGAAAAGGGGTGATGCTTCAAGGAGATGCTGCACACAAAGGGCCTGACCTGCTTGGGTTCACACCTCATCCCCATGACCTGTAGCAGTATTAATGGTGCTGTGCCTGGATATGTCACTGGGTGTGGACATGCACCCCCAGATACCACCCTAGGGCAGAAGTAGGTCTGCCAGCAGACATGTGTCCAGTTTCACCCACTATAGCTGTGGGCACAATCACCTCAGCACCAACTGACCCCTACAGGCACCAACCCCTCTCCCCTGTCTCTTTCTCGGGCACTGCAGACATCCTCAAGTCCCCCGATTGTCTTGGTGATGGGTGGTCCAGGCTGCGGCAAAGGGACACAGTGCAAATACATGGCAACCAAGTATGGCTTCTGCCACATGGGGCTGGGCCAGCTGCTGCGGCAGGAGGCCCAACGGGGCACCCAGCAGGGCCGGAAGGTCCATGACCTCATGCTGCAGGGATCCCAGTGCCCACAGTGAGAGCTCTCGGGCAGGGGAGCAGAGGGATGAGGGGGCCCACTGGGAGGAGCTTCCCAGGAGGACCCTGTAGGAGCCAAGGGGCCTCTCGAGGGCAGAGGCCACTGGCTGCTGCTTTGTCAACCGAGCCTCTGTGTCCTCAACTGTAAAATGGGAGAGCAGCTGGACCCTCAGCAGAAGGCTGGGGTGCGGGGTGAATGAGTTCGTTCCTATAAAGGGCTTGGCAGAGTGCCTGGCCCTTAAGACACACTTAGTAAACTTTCTTTATTGTTGTTTTAGTCACTAAGTTGTGTCAGACTCTGAGACCTCTGGACTTGATCCCTTCAGGTTCCCCTGTCCTTGGGATTTACCAGGCAACCCACCAGAGTGGGTTGCCATTTCCCGCTCCAGGGGATCTTCATAACCCAGGGATCAAACCCTCATTTCCTGCATTGGCAGGGGGATTCTTTACTGCTGAGCCACCCGGGAAGCCCTCAGTAAACATAGCTAGTATTTATTCACTTTGTGACCTTGGGCATGTTGTCAGTGGCCCCTTCTGCCCCCAGTTCCTCACAATAAGATGGAGGTCATCCCAGTTCCTCATGATAGTGATGAGCAAAGGAGCCCAATAAGCCTGGCGTGGGGCAGACGCCCCCCGCCCCAGCAGACAGTCGCTGAGCCCCATTCTCAGAAGTGCCCCCATAGGCCCCAGCTCATCAGAGCTGACTCAGGATCCAGGGCACCCAGCAAATGTTCCCCTGAATTCACCAGAACTTGCCTAGGTGACCTCGTAGGTGAGGGGCCCCCTAAGCACTGAATACAGCCTCCCCTTCTCTCCCCAGGGAGTCATCCTTGATGTGATCAGCATCCGCATGCTGTCCTGCCCAGAGAGCCAGGGCTTCCTCATTGACAGCTTCCCCCAGGAGCTGAGGCAGGCCAAGGAGTTTGAGCGTTTTGTGAGTGACCCCGAGAGGGCATGAAACCAGGCCTCGTCCCCACCTCAGATGGAGATATCAGGCAAGAGGAGCTGATGACAGGGAAATGGAGTTTTGTGTTAATTAGGGGATGGTCAGGAGATGGTTGGAAGTGTCTAGACCCCCAGGTGAGCTCTTCAAGGGTGAGGACAAAGTCATTTTAGCATCTTCCCACACAGTCAATCCTTCCCCTGATGGCTCAGACAGTAAAGAATCTGCTTGCAGGAGACCTGGGTTCAATCCCTGGCACAGGAAGATTCCCCTGGAGAAGGGAATGGCTACCCACTCCAGTATGTTTGCCTGGAGAATTCCATGGACAGAGGAGCCTGACAGGCTACAGTCCATGGGATGGCAGAGTCAGACACGACTGAGTGACTAACTCTCGCACTTTCCACACAGTCCCTGGCAACTGGTAGACAAACTATTTGCCCACTGAGTGGCATGTGGGCTTAGCATCATCTCTGGGTCGTAAGGATGGACTGTAGCTCTCTACTTACCCGTTTATTCAACCTCCTGTGCCCAAAATAATTCTTGAGGACAAGCTAAGTCCTCTGGACTTCACCAGACACATGGGTCAGGGACCAGCAATATGTTCCATGCAAAATACAACAGAATTTCTGGTAGCGATAAGTGCAGTGAAGAACAGAAAACAGAATGACATCCCAGAGAGGCTGTTGATCAGTCTCTAAGTCATATCCCACTCTTCGCGATCCCAGGGACTGCAGCATGCCTGGCAGGAAAAGAGAAACTGTGGCAGGCTAGGGGCCTCCAGGCTTTCCTGGGACTTGCTGGGCTTGCTGAATGTCGTAGAAACGCATTCAGGTGCCAGGCGTTGGGAAGGAATCAGACAAAGGTCACAGGGGGCTGCCCCCCGCCCTCCCTGCCCCCTCATCCTGCCCTCTGTATGCACCTCTCTACTGAAGCAGTTTTGTCCAGATTGTTGTGATGAAGCTAAAAGGCAAATAGTGGCTCCCTCTCCAGGTCTGGGAGCTTGAAGGGCAAAGGCCAAGCTAATGAATGACTCTAGCCAGCACCTGGCCTAGAGTAGACACCCAGTCACCCATGCCAGCTGAATGGTCTCCACAGGTCGTTGCAAAGCACCAGGACAGAGGCTGCAAAACCCCCAGGGCCTCGGGTCCCACGTGATCCACTGACATGTTCAGTTTGGACTATTCAGCTTTTCACACTTTTTTTTAAAATTCGTGGCCAACCTTCAAAAATCCAGAGATGCCACATGAAAACTCCCGGCTCCTCCTGAAAAAAACGCCTGACTTGGCAACACGGGAGCCTGCTGGTCCCCATGGCAACTGCAGCCTGAAGTCCTCCGGAGCTTTTCACCAGCCCAGCACTGTTCTCCACACTCTGCACAGATGAACTCTGATCTTCCGGAACGTTCCAGGCACCCTGCTTTTTCACAGAGGGATCAGGGAGCTAGCCCGGGTCACACCATTCAGGCAGCCAAGGCAGGACCAGGGCTCCAGTTTTAACACGTGGATGGGATGTGCTCCCTCTGTTCCCTGCCGGCTCCCCTACACCCACCCGCTCCCTCTTCTTTACAGAGGCCCATTTAGGATCCTGCTTGTGTGGTAGCTTCACGCTAAGAAGCACAGCACACATGCTTTTCTCTGGTACCCGTGTGGCTCTAAGAAGTGAGAAAATGAAAATAAACAGGATCTTAGTTTCCTGACCAAAGACTGAACCCTTACCCTCAGCAGTGAAAGCTTGGAGTCCTAACCACTGGGCAACCAGGGTATTTCCAAAAGTGGGTTTTCTTTCTTTTTCTTTTTTAAATATTTATTTATTTTGGCTGCGCCAGGCCTTAGTTGTAGTATTCAGGATCTTTAGCTGTGGTATGTAGAACTCTGAGTTGTGGCATGTGGGATCTAGTTCTCTGACCAGGGATGGAACCTGGGTCCCCTGCATAGGGAGTGCTGAGGATTAGCCACTGGACCACCAGGGAAGTCCCAAGAGTGTGTTTTCTTTACAGGGAATTTTGATCTCTGTGAGCCATCTGGCCCCTGCCTTAGGGTCCATCTAGGGTCTGCATTAAAAGGCGTCCCTGGAGCCACCCAGTTTAGACCTCCAGCCCTGATCCCGCCAGGCTTTTGAGCCTGTTTCAGGCTACTCTGGCTGGTGTGAGTTGGAGCAGTGAGTCTGGCTTGAGGCTGAAGCTCCACAACAAGAACACGATGCCCGGGAATTCTTCCCGTTATCCTTCCTGCTTTCTCTGTGCTTTGGGGAGACAAAGGTGCTGAAATTCACAGGAACCCAGAGCTAGACACTGCCTCGGCGTTCCCAAAAGAGCAGCATCCTTATTTTATAGACAGGAAAACTGAAGCCCAAGCAGAGAACATTCTCTGAGGTTGGCCCCTACTCTGTGGGAGGTGGTGGGCTGGCCTAGTTCACATGCTGGCCTTGGAGTCCTTGAGACCGGGGCTGAGGTCCCACTCCACTGCTGTCTCCATGTGTCCACTCTGGGTCAGCACTCCCAGACTGTTTCCTCGTCCGTGCACAGAAATACCACCAGCATCTCCTCACTGCGAGTGAAGCTGATGCAGGGAAGCTGTCACGTCTGTTTCTGAGTTGACTGCAGTCACATCTGCTCCCATCCTGAGAATACATGCTCTGGGGAACTGAGGGGTCCTTGGCCGTTTGTCTAGAACTTGGCCTGGCTTGTGGCAAGAAGCATCTGTTTGTTGCTGTTGTTGCTTTTGTTGTTTTTTACTTTTTTGGTCACATCCTGTAGCAAGTGGGATCTTAGTTCCCCGACAAGGGATTGAACCTGTGCCCCCTGGAGGTGGGAATGCAGAGTCTTAACCACTGGACCACCAGAGAAGTCCCCAAGCAGCGTCTGTTGAATGAGCACACGGGAAGCCCCCAGGAAGCACTGGCTTGAGGGCCAGTGGGACAGACCAGACCAGACCAGACACCAGTAGCCGTGACTATCTGCATCAGGTCGGGTTGTGCAGGAGATCCATGAACAGTCTCCCCAAGATGCCCAGGGACAGAAGGCCCAATCATGCTTCCCCCCAAGGATCAGCTATATTATGAGACCAATGATTTGGGGAAGTTCACAAGAGAATGTTTTATTATTAATTTTTTGGCCTTGAGGCGTGTGGGACTCTTAGTGCCCCCACCAGGGATTGAACCCACGCCCTCTGCACTGGAAGCCTGCAGTCTTAACCACTGAACCACCAGGGAAGCTCCAGAAGTAGGTTTTGCAATAATGATGTGTGTTTTCAAACTTTTTCCTAAGTATAGCCTCACGGGAAGTTGCTGAGATGGTGGAGGGTTTCTGCCGGACCCTTCATCTGGCTCCGAGGGAGGGCCACATCTCATGCAATGCTCACCCAATATCAGAACCAGTCTGTCAGCCCTGGTTTGTATTTGTTTTCACAGTCACCTCCATTGCAAGTGACATCCACTTTCCATTTCCCAAACTGCTACCATTATCTTAAAAAAAAAAAAGTAGAAAAGGGAAGTGGATAGAATTCAAAGCCTTAAATAATAGTGCAGGCAGTGAAACGTGAACTCAAGTCAGTCAATGAACTTTTTTTTAAATTTATTTATTTATTTAGGGCAGTGCTGGGTCTTCGTTGCTGCAAGTGGGCTTTTTCTTCCAGTTGCAGACAGTGGGGGCTACACTTTGTTGTGGTACTCAGGCTTTTATTGTTTCAGAGCACTGAAACAATCCTAGGGCTTCAGTAGTTGCAGCTCCCAGGATTTGTTGCTCTTCCGCAGCATTTGAGATCTTCCTGATGAGGGATGGAACTCATGCCCCCTGTATTGGCAGGCAGATTCTTAACCACTGGACCACCAGTGTCGTAGTCGCTCAGTCATGTCTGACTCTTTTGAGACCCCATGGACTGTAGCCTGCCATGGAATTCTCCAGGCATGCATACTCGAGTGGGTAGCCATTCCCTTCTCCAGTGAGATGGTGGAGGGTTTCTGCCGGACCCTTCATCTGGCTCCGAGGGAGGGCCACATCTCATGCAATGCTCACCCAATATCAGAACCAGTCTGTCAGCCCTGGTTTGTATTTGTTTTCACAGTCACCTCCATTGCAAGTGACATCCACTTTCCATTTCCCAAACTGCTACCATTATCTTAAAAAAAAAAAAGTAGAAAAGGGAAGTGGATAGAATTCAAAGCCTTAAATAATAGTGCAGGCAGTGAAACGTGAACTCAAGTCAGTCAATGAACTTTTTTTTAAATTTATTTATTTATTTAGGGCAGTGCTGGGTCTTCGTTGCTGCAAGTGGGCTTTTTCTTCCAGTTGCAGACAGTGGGGGCTACACTTTGTTGTGGTACGCAGGCTTTTATTGTTTCAGAGCACTGAAACAATCCTAGGGCTTCAGTAGTTGCAGCTCCCAGGATTTGTTGCTCTTCCGCAGCATTTGAGATCTTCCTGATGAGGGATGGAACTCATGCCCCCTGTATTGGCAGGCAGATTCTTAACCACTGGACCACCAGTGTCGTAGTCGCTCAGTCATGTCTGACTCTTTTGAGACCCCATGGACTGTAGCCTGCCATGGAATTCTCCAGGCATGCATACTCGAGTGGGTAGCCATTCCCTTCTCCAGCAGAATCTTCCTACCCTAGGGGTTGAATCCAGGTCTCCTGCATTGCAGGCAGATTCTTTACTGTCTGACTCACAGGGAAGCCGGGGGAAGTCCTTAATTCTTGAAAAAAAAATTGTTTTGTTTTGCTGTGCTGGGTCTTAGTGGCAGCACATGGGATCTTCAATCTTCCTTGCAGAGGTGGGATTTTTTGTTGTGGCTAGAGAACTCTTAGTTGAAGCATGTGGGATCTAGTTCCCCAACCCATGCCTCCTGCACTGAGAGTGGAGTTTTAGTCACTGGACCACCAGGCAAGTCCCTGTTCTTTTCTTTTTAATCCATGAATATTTTAGTACATACTTCCTAAAAAGTGAAGGCTTTTGTAAAAATTGTATCATGCTTCCATTATCACACCTTAATATCCTCCATGTTGTGAAATAACTAATCATTATGGAAATTCTTGTGAACACCTCAAAATCTTTTTCTTTTCACATCTTGTCTTAATCAGGATTGAAGTAAGGTTGGCCCACTGTGATCAGTTGCTTTGTCTCGGTCCTAACGCAATATAACTGGTGGCCTTTTAAGAAGAGGAGACTTACACGTGGACAGAATGGCCACTGAGGACACAGGGAGAAAACAAGCCAAGGAGAGAGGCTTCCGGAGGACTCCATCCTGCCAGCACCTCAGTCTCAGATTTCTAGTCTCCAGAACTGTGAAGAAGTGGAATCTCTTTTTTTTTTTGGAATCTCTTTTTTTAAAAAAAATTTATTTTGGGCTGCTCTGGGTCTTGGTTACTGTGAGTGTGTTTTTCTCTAGTTGTGGTGCGCAGGCTTCTCATTGCAGCGCCTTCTCTTGTTGCAGAGCACCGCCTCTAGCAACTGAAGCACGCAGGCTTCAGTAGTTGAGGCTCCCAGGCTCTCGAGAAGAGGCTCAGCCTTTGCGGTGAACAGGCTCAATTGTTTCGCAGCATGTGGATCTAAATTCCCGGACCAGGGATGGAACCGTCGTCCCTTGCCTTGACAGATTCTCAACCACTGGACCACCAGGGAAGTCTCCAGGAAATGGAATTTCTGTGGCTGGAGTCACTCAACGGTGGTACCTGGTGTGACAGTCCTCACAAATTTAGGATAGCGGGTCAATCAAGGGCTGCCGTAACACACCCCCGCCGGCCCCTTATCTTATAGATTCATTCATTGCTGATCGGAGTCAGTAACTTCATGTTCCAGATCAGTCATTGGTTTCCCCCACATCAATTAGCTGATATTCTTCCCTTAAAGAAGGAATGTCCTTCCTCAACAAGGGCTATTTGAAATATATTGGTTCCTGCCAGACAGGTGGGACACAAGATCATCTTCTCCCTTCCAAGAGCCCATTTTCAGACTGAGGGGTTGGGGGTGTCCTAGCTGCCTCCAGTGGTGACAGTGAGGTTCGTTATTTTGTCTCCCCATGTTTTTGTTCTCTTGCATCCTTACCATCTCAGTTGCTGCTGCTGCTAAGTCACTTCAGTCGTGTCCGACTCTGTGCGACCCCATAGATGGCAGCCACTAGGCTCCCCCGTCCCTGGGATTCTCCAGGCAAGAACACTGGAGTGGGTTGCCATTTCCTTCTCCAGGGCATGAAAGTGAAGAGTGAAAGTGACGTTGTTCAGTCATGTCCGACTCTTAGCGACCCCATGGACTGCAGCCTACCAGGCTCCTCCATCCATGGGATTTTCCAGGCAAGAGTACTGGAGTGGGTTGCCAGTGCCTTCTCCGGACCATCTCAGTAAAATAAGTGTACTTAAAGTATTTAAAGTGAGTCTTCTTTAATTTATTGGAGTCTAATTGATTTACAATATTGTGTTAGTTTTAGGTGTACAGAAGAATGATTCGTTTGTATATATACTCATTCTTTTTCAGGTTCTTTTCTGACATAGATTATTACAGAATATTGAGTGGAGTTCCCTTTGCTGTACTGTAGGTCCTTGTTGCTTATCTGTCTTGTATACAATACTGTGTATATGTTCATCCCAAGCTCCTGATTTATCTTTCCCCTCCTCCCCACATGCCTCCTTTGGAAACCATAAGTTTGTAAGTCTGTTTCTGTTTTATAAATATGTTCATTTGTGCCATTTTAAAAATCAGATTTCACATATGACTGATATCATATGATATTTGTCTTTGACTTACTTCATTTAGTATGATTATCTCTAGGTCCATCTATGGCACTTCAAGTGGCATTATTTCATTCTTTTTCCAATGTTTATTTCTTGGCCACACTGCATGGTATGTATGATTTTAGTTCCCTAGCCAGGGATCAAACCCAGGTCCCCTGCATTGGGTGTGCAGAGTCTTAGCCACTGAACCACTAGGGAAGTCACTATTTCTTTCCTTTTTTATGACTGAGTAATATTCCATTGTATATATGAACCATATCTTCTTTATCCATTCATTTATAGATGGATATTTAGGTTGCTTCTGTGTCTTAGCTATTGTAAATAGGGCTGCTGTGAACATAGGGGTGTATGTATCTTTGAATTATGCTTTTCTCCAGATATGTGCCCAGGAATGGGATTGCTGGGTCTTACGGTAGCTCTATTTTTAGTTTTCTGAGGACCTGCCATACAGTTCTCCATAGTGGCCTGCACCCATTTACAGTCCCACCAACAGTGTAGGAGGCTTCCCTTTTCTCTATACCCTCTCCAGCATTATTGTTTGTGGACTTTTTGATGATGCCCATAATCGGTCTTCTTTTTTGTTAGTCAACGTGTCTCATTTGGGGCCATTAGGAGTTCCCTCATGCTGCACATTGCCCTCCAGGGCACAGCTCCATTTCACATTCACCTTCTCGCTTTCTTTCTGTGCAAGACTTCCTACCCCAACCTTTCACATTTCTGGCCCAGCCCTGGAAAATCAGCCATTTCTCCTGGAGGCCTCTGGGCAGTAGTGTTCCATCTGGGGCCCAGGGGCACTCACTGCTATGGGTGCTCATCGTTTCCAGGCCTCTCCAGCAGACAGGGCCAGGAAACACATACTTTTGAAAGGAAAAAAATATATATATATATATATCACAAGTTCATACTGTTGTTTCCAGCCCACATTTAACATCACAGTGTTTTACTTTTCTCTTTTCCCTAAAAAGTCTGCTTCCTAAAACCACTGATATTCTCAGTTGCATTATTCTATTAGATGCAAAATAGTTTCCAAATAAGTAACATGCCAGTGGTAACTACTGAGAATTAAACTACCATAGGAAGTTTAAGACTTCTTTGCAGCTATGGTTTTCCTTGGGCTTCCTTGGTGGCTCAGATGGTAAAGAATCTGCCTGCAATGCAAGAGACTGGGGTTCAATCCCTGGAGCAGGAAGACTCCCTAGAGAAGGAAATGAAAACCCACTCCAGTATTCTTGACTGGGAAACCCCATGGACAGAGGAGCCTGGCAGCCTGCAGTCCCTAGAGTCACAAATAGTCGGACACAACTGAGCAACTAACACTTTCTGGTTTTCCTTATAATAGCTCTCCCTGTGGATGGACCACAAAAACGATAATTATTTTCTCCCTGCATTTGCGGCATGACATCGACACAGGATTCATTCGTTTCAGCTTGGCTTTCAACATTCAGGGATTGCTTTTTTAAATTAACATTTTGCATATGCACTTAATGATTAATGATTTCAAAGTCACATTAAAAAAGTAGATCCACCCCTGCCCCCAACTGTGCCCTCCCCTCCCTGTATGCAAACATTTTCATTAAGTTTTGGATTGTCCTTTCTGATGTTTCTTTTTGCAAATATAATATAGGTGTGTGTGTGTGTCCCTCCTCATAAAAACTAGCGTTCCATATACAACAGACTTTTTTTGTTTAACTTTACAGTATACTCTGAGATTTTTACATCAATGTCAAGAAGTCTTCCTCAGACTTCCCCACTGGTCCACTGGCTAAAACTCTGTGCTAGCGGGCTCTGGAATGCACAATAGTTGTGGCTCCATAGTTGTGGCACATGGGCTTAGCTGCTCGGAGACATGTGGGATCTTCTTGGACCAGGGATTGAACCCATGTCCCCTGCATTGGCAGGCAGGTTCTTATCCACTGTACCAGCAGGGAAGTCCCCCTGAGTGGCTTTAAATGGGCATTTCTCTTATGATGAATGAAGCTGGGCATCTTTTCCAAACTTCTGGGCCAGTTTCATTTCTTCTTCAGTGCACTCTTTATATCTTTTGCTCACTTTTCCCCATCCTAGAGGATTGTTGGTCTTTTTTTCTTCTTGAGTCTAGGGAACTCTTTATATATTAGCTGTTTGTAATATAGGTTGCAAAATTCCTGACCCCCCACCCCCCGGTTTGTCAATTATTTTTTTGTTTTATTGTGCCTTTGTTTTTTTTGGCCGTGATGCCTGACCTGTGGGATCTTAGTTCTCTGACCAGTGATGCAACTGGGGCCCTGACAGTGAAAGCACTGAGCCCTAACCACTCGACTGCCAGGGTGTTCCTTATTGTGACTTTACATATTTATTTGGCTGTGCCTGGTTGCAGAATGCAAACTCTTAGTTGTGACCTGTGGGATCTCATTCCCTGACCAGGGATCAAACCTGGGCCCCCTGCATTGGGAGGGTTGTCTTAGCCACCAGACCACCAGGGAAGTCCCAAAAGTGGGCAGTTTTATCTTATTCCCAACTTTACTCGGAAAGCACGTTTCCATTAAATAAGATGCTGGCTTAGGATGTTTATTAATTTCTAGTGTTTTTTTAAAAATTAAATCAAAAATGTGTGAATTTTGTCAATTAAATTGCTCTTTCTCTGTTTAAAAGGATTCTTATATGACTTTTCTTTAGTTAAGATAATAACACAATAAATTGTACTGAACCGTCCTTGCTTTCCTAGAATGAATCCCACGGGGCTGTGGGGTTTTTGTTGTTGTTGTTATTTTGTTTTTTAATGTGCTGACAGGTTCTGTTTCGAAAGGAAATTCTGGAAGAACTAGGAAGTGGGGTTCAGGGATTTGACCAGAGATTGAACCCATGTCCCCTGCATTGGCAGGCAAGTTCTTATCCACTATACCATCAGGGAAGTCCCTCTTAGTGATTTGAAATGGGCATTTCTCTTACGATGAATGAAGCTGGGTGGCCTTGGAGATCCTGGGAGGTCTCCCTGGAGTTAGGAGAGGGCAGCAGTGAGCTGGAAACGCTTGTTCTTTCCCCAAAGTGCTTGTAGGAGAGGAAAGCAATGGAAAACTGCTTAAATCCGTCTTAAAGGGAACGTGTGTGTGTTTAGTTGCTCAGTCATGTCTGACTCTTTCCGACCCCACAGACTATAGCCCCCCAGGCTCCTCTGTCCATAGGGTTCTCTAGGCAAGAATACTGGAGTGGGTTGCCATTCCCTTCTCCAGGGGATCTTCATGACCCAGGGATGGAACCCAGTTCTCCTGCATTGCAGGTGGATTCCTAACCATCTGAGCCACCAGGGAAGCCCTTTAAAAGGAATATTTCAATAGAAATACCCATCAACGAGGAACCAGTTAAGTAAATTATGACACACATCCATACAACAGAATGGGCTTCCCTGGGGGCTCGGAGTTAAAGAATCCACCTGCAATGCAGGAGACTCAGGTTCCACCCCTGGGTGGGGAAGATCCCCTGGAGGAGGAAATGGCAACCCATTCCAGTATTCTTGCCTGGAGAATCCCATGAACAGAGCGGGCTACAGTCCATGGGGTCGCCAAAGAGTTGGATACAACTGAGTGACTAAACAAAGCAACAACAGAACAGAATACTATCTAGTGATTAAATAAAATACACACAAGTATCTTCCTTGTGTGTCAAATACACAACCATCTCCAGCTTACTAAGTGAAAGGGCAAATCAGTGTCTTTATGAAAAAGCAGGAAAAATAACATCAGAACCAAACTTGCTTGGTATATGCCCAATGAGTTCCAGAAGGAGAAACAAGAATCAGATTAACTTGATTGCATCCAGGGAGGGTGAAACTGGGTGCTTGGGGGCAGCAAGGAGACTCTTCACCCTTTCCCACTGGTCTTGTTTGGCTTATGAGCTTTGCAAACGCCCTACCTGTCCAAAATACAAACACATAGAAGAAAAACTTGGAATGACAAGAATAAAACAGACCCAGGGGGGGCCTGGTTTTTTACTGGGGCAGCACCACCCTAGATCCCTGATCGTGGGGCAGGGGTGGGCATAGGAGGCCACCTCATTCAGCCTCTTCCTCACCCAGCCCCCTTTCATGGATGCCCAGGTGGGCTGGGCCCCCAACGTCATCATCACATTTGACTGTTCGATGGAGACGATGATGGATTGCCCTAAGCCAGGACCACATGGAACACTGGGCAGATGACTGTGAGGCGGCCCTCCTCTAGCACCTGGAGACGTACTACACCCTGTACGGACCTGTCCTGACCTTCCACCAGTAGAAGAACCTGCTCCGAAATGTAAGTACCACCCCCTCACTCCAATCCCAGCCCCTCAAGGGGACCAAGTCCAGGTGAAACAGAGCAGGTGTTACACTGTTACCTAGGTCCCAGACCTCTCTGGGCCTGCCTGAGTTTCCCCAAGCACATACACTGGGGGGTTCCATCTCTTCCATTAGGCAGAATGGGTGCAGCTGCGTGGGTTCCCAGAGATGATGCTGAAGGTCTGAACAGAATGACTGGCTCCAAAACCACACTATTAAGTGTTTTAGAACATGGTGGAGGTAGTTTAGTTGCTCATTCATGTCCAACTCTTTGCAACCCCACAGACTGTAGCCCACCAGGCTCCTCTGTCCATTGGGTTCTTTAGGCAAGAATACTGGAGTGGGTTGCCATTTTCTTCTCCGTGGGATGTTACAAAATTAAGGATCATGACAACCAGCCAACCACAGCTCAGCTCCAACGCAGCCATGGATCCTCAAGGTGTAGGAAGCAGGACTATCTTTGTTTCAGTTTGAATTTTTGGCTGTGCTGGGTCTTCATTGCGGTACACAGGCTTTCCCTACTTGTGGTACGTGGACTTCTCTTGAAGTTGTGGCGTATGGGCTTAGTTGCATTATAGCTTGTGAGATCTTAGTTCCCAGACCAGGGATCAAAACTGTGTCCCCTACATTGGAAGGTGGATTCTTAACCACTGGATCATCAGTGAAGTCCTCCAAAGTGTGGATCTCTTAATTCTTAAAGTGACCCATGCAGTTCCTATACATTGCAATGGAGCTAAGAGAACTTTGGTGTCATTCCTGGTCCCCTCCCACAACCAAGGGTAAAATCGAGAGTGAGAGGAAGGAGCCTGGAGCATCAATGGGTGGGGCGGGAAGGCGGTGAGCCAGCCTGGCGCATCTCCCATCCCATGGGTTGTTCCAGGGGACAGTGCCCCCATGCAGTCTGTGCGGCCGAGTGAGTGCCCAGCGCTGTGTGGCCTTTCTAACCGTTTCCCCTCCCCTCACCTGTGTGGCCCTGGGGCTGCACCTGTCAGTCCTGCTCAAGCAACTGGAAGGGGAACCTGCTCTCCCCTCGTGTGAGGGAGAGGTGTGGGGGCCATGACCTCGATTTACTCTGAACTGACCCCCTCTGCTACCCCTTGTCTACATCTTGGCCGAAGTTCCAGAAAACATTTTTGCCAAGTGATGCTCTGTCATCGAAAGCCTGCAGTGAGTTGGGAGAGGGCTAGGGGCCCCAACTTCCCCCTCATCCCAGAGGTCAGAACGGGTACACTGCCTGAGGTGAGATGCTGGTGAGGGGAGCCTTGGGCTCCAACCTAAGCTGAGGCTCCATGTGACCCAAGGGTTACAGCCCTCCCCCTTTCCTGGGCCCACAAATGGCTGACTGGGGGCACTCCCACAGGGGTAGTTCCCTAAGGAGCCTTGCATGGGAGGTCACGAGGGCCTCGAACAGCCCACCACCACACCTGATTTTCCCTGCTGGAATTTGACCATACCTCCCAGAACTCTCCCAGCAAAGTACGCCTCTGGATGACCGGCCCTGGGCCAGACAGCTCAAGAGGTCCTCCACGACCGCTCTCCCATCTCCCATCCTCATTCTGAGGCTGCCAACCCTTGGGACAGATGTCCTTCCCTTGGACAGGCCAGGTTTCCACCTCAGGGCTCGCCAGCCAAACAGGCCACAGTGAGGACTGGATCACGTAAAGCACTGTGGGTTTGTTCCAGCAGCGGCAGGCTGTATCCATGGGAACACCTGTCCCCAAGGACCCTCCGGAGTGCCCTGCTCCCCAAGTTCCCAGTGGGACAAATGCTGGGGATGAAGGGGTGGGGAACTGGTCTGCTGGGGCTCTGCCTGCTTCTCCCTTCCTGCAAGACCAGACTTCAGGCAAAGTTTTTTGGGGCCCCCACCCGACTCTCATTGGCCAAGCCTTGTTCCTNTTCCTTTTTTAAAAGTTTATTTTAAAAACATGAAGAGGGCCAAGGGTGGTCGCAGGGAGTGAATGAATTGCTTTCTCCTGAAAGAGGCAGTTTCAGGAAGGCTGGGGCGGGGTGGGGGACGATAGAGATTTTTTATATATATATATATAATTTTATAAGTTTTGTTTTGCTTTTTTAGTTTTTAACTTTAATTTTTTTTTTTTTTTGCAGAGATTTAGTTCTCGCTATCTTCTCTGGCTGGCTCAAGATGAAGGATCCCAATTTTGAAAGAAAAAAAGCATATGAGACACACAGAATGAGCGAGAGAGCGAGAGCCTGGCACTGCCCGTGCCACGACCCCCAAGCCACTCACAGGGAGGGCTCCCCCGGCACCCCCCTTGGCAGCCATCGCTCTCTCGACAAACAAACGGAAAAAAAACAAACGAAAAAAAGCCCCCAAACAGAACAAAATGGAAAAAAAAATAATAAAAGATTTTCACAGATGAAGAAGTTCACATTCATTCGATTCATTGAGCCTGCGGAGAGGGAAGAGATAGGAATTGGTCACTACGGGGTGGGGAGGGGGTCGGGGCGGGAGACTGGGGTTAAGTGGCAAGGAGGGGGCCAGGAAGCCCCTCTCCTGAGCCTGTGGCAAGCGCAGGCTGGAAGGATGTGTTTGTAGCTGTCTAGTCAGTGCTCTGGGACTGGCTGCAGTCAGACTGGCTCTGAGATGGAGGAGAGTGACACAGGAAGGAGAAGCAGGGGCCGCACAGAGAGAGCGAGAGAGCGAGAGAGAAGCGCTCAGGGCTGGGGGCGGCGGGGAGAGGGGTGCCCTGTGTCTTCAGGAAGGCGGGCGGGCGGGCAGCTCCCGGCGCATCACGACATGACAACCAGAGATCACGGTGTCCCCACAACACCCCTGTGAGGTAGGTTGGAAGGTGGCAGCGATCGTCATGCCCACTTCACAGACAAGACCGGGACACGAGGCGGGCGCAGGCGCGAGAGCAGAGGCCGAGCCTGGGCGTGGCGGGCGGGCCCTGCGGCCGGGCCCCTTGGCACCGCCCCCGGCCCCCAGAGCTGTGGCCGGGCCCCACGGGGCAGCTGGCAGCACACACAGTCACTTGGACACGCGGGGAGAGATCGTGGGTTTAAAAATAAGAGTCAAAAGAACAAAAACCATGAGAGTAATGCAGAGAGGGGCAAAAATATCCGTTTTCTTCCCAAGTGGCCAGATTGTGAGTGAGCGAGTCAGCAGCCGGGATGGCGACCTCCGGCTGAGCGGATGGCCTGCCCCCCACCCCCAGGACTACCCACCAGTTCAACAGTTCCTCCTTTTATCTGCTGCGCGCTCTCCCCCAGCATCACGACAGCGTTACACAGGAACAAGCGGGCCGGCGGAGAGGCCTCTTCTTTAACCTCTGGACCCAGCGCACACTTCCCCCAGCTCGTGGGGGCTCCCGGAGACCTCTGGCCACACGGCCCCCGCTGCAGGCATCAAGGACACACCCCGCAGGGGAAGGGGTTTCCGGCGCTACCCACTAAGGCAGGATGGACGGTGGCCGGGGGTTGGAAGGAGAAAGGAGGAGGAGGAGGGTGGCAATTCCCACTTGCCTGCTGCTGTCCCTGCTGTGTGGGTGGAGGCTGGGGGCCGCCGGGACCTGGAGTCTGTCCGTAGTAAGCGGCTTGCTGTCTGTAATATTCAGCCCAGGCGGCACTGTAGTCTGGCTGGGAACCCGGGGGTGCTCCTGGACCCCCTCCGGTAGCCACTTGAGCTGTGGGGGAGCAGAGGGTGGGTGAGCAGGCCAGGATGCCGGCACGCCTGGTCCCACCCCTGTGGCCTGCCAGCTCACCCTGCTTCTTGTAGTACTCTTCCCAGGCCTTCGTGTAGTCCTGCTGCGGGGGTGCTCCAGGCTGCTGGGGCTGCTGGCCTGTGGGGGCAGGCCCCGAGGTCAGAGGACAGGCGGGGATGTGGCCACCCTCTCGCCCAACCCTCCCTGGCTGACTGGAGCTCCCACGGCGGCCCACACACTCACCGATCTTTTTGTAATACTCTTCCCAGGCCTTGGTGTAGTCCGACTGGCCAGCAGGTGGAGGCTGCGGGGGCTCGCCCTGGGTGGGCGGGGCCGCGGGGGCCGGGGCCGGGCCGGGCACGGGGCCTGGGGGCTGCTGGTAGTAGTGTGAGTAGTAGGCGGCCCAGGCGGCGTTGGGGTCGGCAGCGGCAGCGGCGGCTTTATCTGCAGGCAGAGGGCGTGTGGGCTAAGCAGTGGCCAGGTAACTGGCCCCTCCCCACTGCCCTGCTCAGATCCTTATACTCACTCGGGTCATGAGGAGCAGGCGGCTGCCACTGAGGGTAGGTGTTGCCCCAGCCCTGGGGTGGGTACTGGTGAGGAGGGGGGCCTCCAGCACTGAGGGTGAAAACAAGGGACACATGAGCCAGGTTACCCCAGGGTCCTTGCAGAGGACGGCCATAACCTGGAAGGGGGCCCAGAGCACCCCTTATGTGGAACTGCAGATTCCTGGCCCAGGGAAAGGTGTTAGCTGACTGATGCAAGCGACACAGGCCATGTGGACTCAAGGATGTGACAATCCCCCACTACACCACACAGGATTACAGGATCTACATGTGGAGTGGAGACTAGGGCTAACACCCACAGCATCTTTTAAAAATGGCGTCTCTAAACTAACAGGTTGGCCAGGGCTGTGTTTGGCACCTCTGCAAGGTGGAATGGCCTTCTCGGTGGTGAGGAACATGGACATAGGGCCTGCCGGCCTCCTTGCCAACACTATGACCCCCCACATCCCAGGAGTCCGCGGGAATACTCACTGAGGGGGAGCCCCAGGTGGGCCCTGATTGAAGGGCCCAGGGTTGAAGGGCCCCATGGGGCCGGCAGGGCCTGGTCCCCCAGGGCCTGGTCCGACTGGGCAGAGGGGACCCTGGAGGAAGGAGAAGTGGACGAGATCAGTGGAACAGGAGGAGGAGGAGCTGGGCCCAGGTGCCCAGAACCCCTCTTGAGCTGAACCCACCTCGATCTTCTCCTCAATGAGCTGCTTGGCATGGTCGATCTGCTGGGGTGAGCCCCGGATGATGAACAGCTTGAAGTTGGGGTCTCCGTTGGGTGGCAGCTGCCGAGATATCTCTACAAAGGCGCCTGTCTGCTGGTTTATGGCTTTCACATTCTCGCCGCCTGCAGGAGCCATGGGCAGTGAGCGGAGACCAGGAGGAAAGCAAGGGGAGGGGTGAGGCCTGTGGAGGAGCCACTCACCTCGGCCGATGACCAGCCCGCACTTGTGCGTGGGGATGGAGAAGGTCATCTCCCCACCTGGAGGGCCCCAGTTGCCTTGGCCCCTACCTCGACCTCGGCCTCCTGGGGGCATACCAGGACCCCCTGGAGGGCCTGGGGGACCACTCTGCAGGGCAGAGAAGAGATAGGATGGTTAATGCAGGCAGCCAGCCTGCCCTCCCACTCAGCACACCTGACATCACTCACCCTGAGGCTTTGGAGGAGGTCATTGATAATCCGCGCCGCGTGCTCACACCGGTCTGGGGGTCCCATGATGTGTGCTATCTTCTCAGGACCTGTCCCGTCGTCTGAGGCAGCACAGGAGAGCCAAAAAACAGTTACAAGAGATGCACAACTCCGAACCCCCAACGCCAAGCCCCGTCTGGAACGTGTCTAAGTGCCGCTGGCTGCCTTTCACGTGTTCAGGAGCAGGTGAGGATCCCTCCCGCACTTGGTGCCCCCAGAACTAGCAGACGCGCCTGGCAGAACCTAGAACTGACAACAAATCTCTCAAAAAGCACGGGCAGTCCGTCCTCCCCTAAGACCACTGGACTGGGCAGACGCCCACGTCTGGGGCCTGAAAGCTGATCTCACCCAGGGGCCCAGGTGGCCTGTCAAGACAGCCCTTGAGAGGAGAGGGAGAGGACAGCTTGGCAGGAGAGGAAAACACACTCTTCACCTCGGGAAGCCTGCCTGTCATTCACTTTCTTACGGGGCTGCCCCAGAGGGGGACAAGGCACGTCCTGGTGGTCTAGGAGTAACGAGGTACTGCAGACGCTAACCCCAGTGTCAAGCTGCCCGTCTTGGACCCCCAAGAGTGAGTCTCAGCAGATCCCAGCTGGCCCCTGACCTTGTTTAAACTGTATCCGAACACCAGCATCATTCTGGATCTTCTTGATCATCTCCCCACTCCGGCCGATGACCACACCAACAGAATGCCTAGGCACTGGCACCTGAGGGCGGCCAGGACAAAGGAGGATCAGCTGGGCTTTGTCACTGTCTGCAGTCCTCCTGCTGCCCGCAAGCCAGCCACCACCCCTGCCGCTCCATCCACCCAAGAGGCCCGCACTCACATCGATGCCCCCACCGATCCGGGACCCATACTCATTCCGGTCTCCAAAGCCGCCCTGGTCACGCTCCCGCAGGATGTCCATCACCATCTCACAGGCTTGCTGTGAACATACAAAGTGTGGTGCTCGCACGAACACTGCTGCCCCACTGCATGCCCCAGGGTCACAGGCCAGAGCTAAGGACCAATGCAAGCTGCCTGGATCTTTACCCACTGCCCTAAGAGGTGGACATGGTGAGCACCCCGGCTTTCTGGACTGAGGCCAGTGGAAGCCACCTGCTCATGCACAGACGGCTGGGAGGGAGCTCAACAGAGAATGAGTCCAGGGCTGACTTCAGAGCCAGTGCTCTAGAAAATCTCTCCACTTGCATCCAAATCTCCAGCCTATCCACTGCCCTCTCTCTGCTCCCCAGAACCACCCCCTTGGCCCTGGGGCGCCCACCTGCACTTTGTAAGGGTCTCCGATGATCCGCAGCGGTTTGTCCACATTCGTGTTCTGGGAGCCATCCTGGATTAAAATCATCTTCACTCCAGCCCGTTCCTGTGTAACCAAGGTGACGTCAGTGCTGAGCCCTCCAAGGACTTCCTGGGGCGGGGGTCATGCCTGGTCCAAAAGGACGAAGGGCTCTGGCTTGGGGGCGGGCGGGGGCTGTGGCCTGCACAGGCACAGCTGCGGGAAGGAGGGTGTCCTGGGACGGGACGGCAGGAGACTTCACCCTCACCTGCAGCTGCTTGATGGTCTCCCCGCCTTTGCCAATGACCAGGCCGGCCTTGCCCGCGGGGATCATGATTTCCTGCACTGTGCCGTTCTGGCCCCCATTGGCATTGTCATGGAACTGGCCTGGGGGCCCCCCACGGCCCCGGGAGACAATGTCGTCCAGCATCATCTTCGCTTTCCTGGAAAGGGGAAGAACAGGTGCTCTCTGAATGCTTGCCTGGAGCCTCAGCCCCGCTTCCAGAAAAGGGGGTTCCAAACCGCAGGCCTGACAGAGGGCCCGTCCCTAGGGCTGGGGCTATTCTGGGCCAGGTTCCCCAGATCTCAAGAGACTCACTGCATTAAGCAGCCCCCCAGAGCAGGGAGGGCATGAGGAACATGGTGTGGGAGTCACCCTCAACTTCAAAGGTGGGCTTTGCCCACCCACTTTGTCATGATGACAGGCCCAGCCAGAGACTTACTGCACAGACTCCGGGGCTCCTGTCAAGGACACACTGCGTTCAGGTAGGCCACCGCTGTCTGGAGAGGAGAGGAGAGGAGAGGAGAGGAGAGAGGGTCAGTGCTTTCTTGAGTCAATGCCTTGGGCAGACAACCAGGAGGACCTTCCATGGAGATGAGACTTCCAGGAACAATCGACAACTACTTCTGCCACTGTACGGCACCCTGACAAATCAATTTACCTCCCCAAACACTTGGGAGGGTGCTCTCTGCACGGCCAAGATCAAGAAGCTTTAAGACCAGCAGAGGAGGCAAAACTTCTAGTGAAAAGATAATATGGAAGGAGAAGCAGATTCCAGAAGGTCCCAAACTGGGCCCCTTCCATCACCACCCATATGAGCACCTTCCAGTCAATGAACTACATGTTAGGCAGGGAAAGCACTCAGAACCCCCTGCAAATCAGGTAACTGCCAAGGCGCAGGCAGGACTGGATTTAAACCAGGCCTGACCTCAAGGCTGTCCTTCCTAAGGAGCGCCCCTGCCTCACACTTTCCCACAGGTGCTGGAACTCAGGTGGCAACACAGTCAGAGCGGGATCTGGGGTGTGGCTCCCTGAACTGGATTCTAGCCCTCCCCGCTCAGGGAAAGCAGATGGAGACAAGAGTTGCAGCTACACATTGTGGCGCTGTGCTGAGGCGGCACACAGCATGCTCAGTAACACCAGCCCACTTCACCTCCGTCTCATTGTGGCTGTCAGGGGATCATGAGAGAAAGCACCAAGAGCCCCAGCACAGTCACTCATCCCCATCCAGCTCCAGTGCCCCTACCTGGAGAGATTTGGACTTTGCAGCCTGAGTCCTGCTGGATTTTATTAATCTGTTCACCTCCTCTGCCAATGACTGGGTGGAGAAAAAGAAGAGCAGAGATGGATGGGGGGAGGCTGGCGCTGAGAGCCCCCCTGCCCAGAGGATGGATGAGAGAGTAAACACAAAACAGCTCCTTCAAAATAAAAGAAAAAAAACAACAAAAACGAAAAACAAACAAAAATCACACAACACAACAGGGTCCTTCAGTGCTCCTGCGGCCTCTTATGCTTCTGCACAGCCCCTTCTGGTGCCCCTCACCAGATCTCTGAGCTGGGTTGGGGGGTTGTCCAGGGAATCACTCCCCATTCCACTCATCCTTTCCTGCACCTGCCCCAGAGCCTGGGCCTGGGTCAGAGGGGTAGGGGGAGGAGGCATCAGTAGGAAAAAAAAATATCAACAGACTCATCTTTGGGATTTCCAACCACAAAAGAAACTACATGCAAATATCTATCTCCACTGTAAGTAATGAGGGGAAAAAAAAACAACTGGCTCTTTCAGACCACAGGTCTCAGGGTTGGCAGGTGCTCTCCTGAGAGACTGCCCTTGGGGGGACACAGGGCAGGGGTTAATGGGCACCCACTGGGTCACAGTGGCCCACACTCACTTAGTCCCACCATGCCGTCTGGGACCCGGTACTCTTCTGTCATTGAAGTCCTACAAAGAGAAACAATGAGAGTCAGCCTCAAGTCAGGAAGCAGCAGAGGGGATGGAAGAGCCAGAAGGCCTCCTGGAAAAAAGACCCTCAAAACCAGAAGTCCTGCTTCTTGCGACATGGGGACCAAGTCCCCACACGCCTAAGCAGACTCTGACAAGGGCATGGGGGCTCCCTCACACCACAGCAGACCACCCAACCTCTGGGGGCCTCCGTTTCCCACTCTGGGCCACAAGAGGCTTAGCCTGGTGTGGCGTGACCCCCTGGACCAGTGCTGCCCACCAACTCAGGGCAAGAGAACCTGGGACACTTTCACAGCAATCTGACAGCGTCATCCAATACCTATAGATCCTAACTTAAAAAAAGTCGGTTTTGTATCATTTTCATTTCATTCTTCTAGTGAGTTGTTTTTACTGCATTTCACAAAATTTTAGCCAATAGTAAAGAAAAGAACATGGTCCTTCAGAGAGAATGCTCTAAGGTATAAAGGTAGGAAAGGAACACACCCCCAACCCAGCTCTCAGGGAAGAAGAGTCCGCAGAAGCAGGTGAGAGGTCAAGGCCAGTCCCCAGTCTTTTCCAGGAGAAAGGATGGCAGGGCTTCTGAGTATCTCCATCCAACAAAGGAAGCAAAGGGGCGCAGAGAACCCCCTTCCCCATTACAGCTAACAGCCACAGCCCTATGCTCCCTATGGCCCCACAGACAGTGAGTAGGAAGGACAATCGAAGCTCCTTCTGCCTTTCAGTCTTCTCCTTGGTTGACCAGAGAGTAAGACAAAGCCCTGTACAGCCCAGCACCCAGACAGAGCCCTCCCTCCAGTCAGCAAGAAAGGCCAGAGACAACAAGGAAACGACTTGCTCTCCAAACCATCACTTACCTGGGGGGAGGATGAATGGGCCCGAGTTGAGAACTCATGGCTGCAAAGAGAAAACCCAAAGGACAAATTGGCCCGGCTCCTCTCCCAAACACCATGTGCTGGGCACTCCTGCCATGCAAGGGACCACAAGCTACATCACAATGCCTCTGAGCCTCCCTGAGCGAGCGCAATGGGGCCACCTCACAACAGCCATGCTCGGAGGTGGCTGCCTCACGATCCAGGCTCTGGGGTCTCATGGGCCCTGGAGGGACATCAAGAGCCTCCATAAAGGAGAGGTGCTGTCTGCTCAGTACTTCCAGCTCCCCTCTGGAGAGTACTTCCTGCTAAAACCTCTTAAGATCCTGAAGTGGCCTCTGCCGGTGTCACCAAGTGGACTTACAGTCTCCCTGGGAAGCCAGCTTCTTGCTCTCTGGTTGGTCTGTGAAAAGAAAGAGGATGTCAGATGCAGTGCCCACCCACCCACAGCTGCCTCAAATCTGATGCTGGTGCCACATGTCCTAGCAAACAAGCCTCCTGCCCCCCACCCTCAACATCAAACACAAAACAGGAGAATAAGAGACCTACTCTCACCACCAGCACTCAGGGATAAAGAGCCCTTTATAACAGGGGGAAAATGATGGTGATCCCAGTACTTCCAGCTCATGCCCAAATCTGCCTTGGGGAAGGCAGGCTGATCAGTGAGTTGATAGTTTAGGCTGCACGCCTCCGGGTCAGCCACAACGCACTGACATGGGACCTGAGGGGAACCCTAGCTTAGCAGAAGAGGAGGAACAACCTTGAAAACTTACGCCCTGGACCTGGTCACAATCAATCTGCCCTCCTCTCAGCCACCTGATACCTCAGGACGGCAGCCCGGACAAAAAGAACGAACAAAGCTGGGATTGCTGAGGTTTTAAAACACCAAATGGCAGCGGGCTCCCCTCACTTTGAAACACATTCCAACAAAGGCACTTCACTCTCTGCCCCCAGCCCTTCCAGCAAGGCAGGTAGTTACCTCCATCTTCTAACTGCCTCTTTTGGCCCCCAAAACCAAAATCAGGAGTGCTGTTATTCACTGTGGTAGCTGCGTCGCCTCCAATCTTGGCTGCGATCTAGAAGTGAAGTTGTGAGCAGAGAAGAATTACACTCAAAGCCAGCCTCCGTGGTGCTCAGGTCAACCTTTCACCTCTTTGGTTCATGAATGCCCAACAGGTCTTGCTGTCTGGCCTGGGAGTGGCATTCCCTGGATTTAGGGACGAGCCTGTTGGCTAAGACTTCCCTGATGGCTCAGCTGGTAAAGAATCCGCCTGCAATGTGGGAGACCTGGGTTCGATCCCAGGATTGGGAAGATCCCCCTGGGAAGGGAACAGCTACCCACTTCAGTATTCTGGCCTGGAGAATTCCATGGACTGTACAGTCCATGGTGTCGCAAAGAGTCGGACATGATTGGGCGACTTTCACTGTTGGTTAAGACATTTCTAGGAGTTTCCACCCAAGGCTTCAGAGTTCCAGAGTTATTCAGGAATTTCAAAGAAGCTCCCTTTCTCTATCAAATTTGGGCCTAAACTGTTCATGGCCAGAGGGTAACCCACACTGATTTGTTCTAGGGATGAAAGGAGCAAAAGTTCAGGTGCCCTCCACCAGGGAGAGCCTCTAGACACTTCCTTGCCCAAGTACCCAGGCCTCTGGGATCCTCAAGAGCACACCCTCAAAATCTTTCCATTTGTTGAACAAATCTTAGGGAAGTTTGCTTCAAGGCATCTGAAACCCTCATCTAGACCAAAACAAAAGGCCCTTTTCGGAACACGTGTTACATTTTGGACACACAAACAACACTGAATAAACCCCAACCCAATAAATTTAAAACCAGAGTATGGCATTAGGATTACTACAAGTTTTCCAAAGACACACAAACCATGAGCTGAGGATCTATATTTTAACCTCTCTAAAACTTCAACCAAAAACTTGGAGCCTAAACTCTTGGGATGCCCATATGGGGTTTTATCCCAATCAAACACAGAGCACCACCTCTCCTTGTTTTAGCTGCTTCTCAATTAAGCCAGGGAGGGTGGGGGAGTGAGGGGTCAATCATATCAACTGCACCTAAGAACTCTATCTCATGTCTAGGGTGAAAGCCACAGACCACACTGGGAGGGGAACAGGGCGTTCCCCTAATGGGACCTCCCTGTGGTGGAGGCTTTGGGGACAATTCTGACTGAGAAAGCGCTCAATGGCCTGAGCCAGGTCAGTTTCCTTTTGAAAGGGCGGCAAAGTCCTCTCTTTCTATGGACCTCTTCCCCTCAGGCCGTGGGGCACCCGGGGAGGTCACACATCAGCATGTGAAACTCCCATGTAGTCATCACGCCCTAGAACACAGTGGAGGGACCCTTCCCTTCTCTCCCCAGAAGAGAAATAGGGTGCTTGCAAGTGACCTGAAGCATCAGAAAGAGTCAGTCCCTAGGCCTACCCTCCCCATTTCAACGAAACGCTTAGCCACTGCCTGGCAGCCACAGGGTCCCCTCTTTACTTTCCAGGTTCAAGAGGAAGGACTTTTCTAACCCCCTGAAGTCCCTGCTTCCTGGAGACCAGGAAGAAAAGGGACCAAGTTGGGAGCAAAGAGGGCCCTTTGCCCTGATGGGGAGGTGGGAGCACAGAAAGACCTTCCCGGGAAGGCGGAACCCCTGCTTCTAGGAGTAGAGAGTGTCCTAAATGGCGGCGGCCCGGGCGGGGGTCCTCCCGTGCTGTAGTCCGACATGGCGCGGCGAGGCCGGGCCTGACGCGGAGGCTGAAGCTGAGGAGGAGGCGGCGGCAGCGGCGGCTCAACGCGGGAACAAGGCCTCGCTCCACACGGCCGCGGAGCACTCTGGGAAGCCAGCGGCTGGGAAGACGATGGGGGGGGGGGGGGGGCGGAGAGGGACGCCCCCCCCGGCTTGACGGACGGCGCCGCCGGGCCAATGGGAGGTGGTCGCCATTCCCGGGACACCAATCACAGGCTCTGGAGGCGAGCGGCCAATCGGAGTGCCGCGAGAGGCAGTGGGCGGGAGGTACCGCGAGATCGACAGCTCTGGGAGGCAATGGGCTGCAGGCTGACGGCTTTGGGCGGGCAAACTGAGGCGACCGAAGGAGGCCGAAGGCCCAATGAAGCGGGAGTTCCAGAATCGCGGGGCGGCTTCTGAACCGGATTGACGGCTCCTAAGAGTCAAGCGGACAGGAAGGAGGAGTCTGGCGAAAGACTTCTTTGAACGGGCTGGGTGGGCGTTCAGTGAGATTGTCGTGTAGGCAAGCCAATGGGTACACACGGAAGGCGGCCTTTACAGAGATTGGCAATTATTTTAAGCCAATTTCTGGCGAGGTCGGTGTGATGCGCTTGCGTTTGGACTGAGTTACTTTAGCGTTAACCAGAATCCTTTTCTAGTCCCGTCGTCTAAGCCAATGGCTGAGTGGCGGGGGCGGGTGTAAGGTGACTGACCTCACCCTAGGCAAATAATAATGAAGGAAATGGAGGTGTCCCGTTTTGGTGGGAGCTAGAGGAAGCGCCGCTGCATTGGGGCGGAGCCAGCCACCAGACGCCGGGAGGGGATTAGCCGGAACCGGATTGAATGGCAGCCGACGTGGGCATTGGCCACCGGCTGCAGGAATTCAGGCCTGACGTCTGGGTTAGAGTCCCCGGAGGCCGGCCGGGTAAGCCAGGCACGTGGCCTGCTTGAGGCCTTGGAGACGGGTGCTTCCGGGGGTGGGGTGGCCGCAAAGCAAAAGGAAACTCAGGGATCCTCTCATACCCTCTCCTCTTTCCATCCAGGGATCTAGAGTCTTTACTTCTCTTCCAGAACGCATGGAACCGGCTCTCCTACCAACTCAAGGGTCTAGATTTCCTCCCAGGACCGAGGGATCCTAGACTCTTTAATTCGACACCCTACATCAGCTTCACATAAGGTCCTTGGATCCGAGCTCCAATTGCTTCTCGGCCTTTTGGCTAAGATCAAGTGGATCCGAGCTCCAAGCTCTTATCTAGGCCCTCAGTTTATTTTCTGGACCCAGGCATCTTCAAGGCTTCCAATTCCCGTTCAAGACTAAGAGGCCCAAGCTACTCCCGCCCCCCCACAGGACCCAGGTATCCAGATGCCCAGCTGCCCTCCTGAACCCAGATATTCCAGACACCGCCAGCAGAAACCATCTGTTTATTCCTCATTGTCTCCACATTCACCCTTTTGCCATGGAATCAGGACAAGTCGCAGCAAGCCAAACTGGAGTCCAGACTAGTCCCAGGCTGCACCCAGGAGAGGAGGCACCAGGAATTTTCTGACCCAGGCAACCAGCCTGCTTCTCCTGACAAATCTGCCCTTGGTCCCGAGCCTGGAAGGCCCTTTGGGGCCAGGGGACACTGGATCTTCCCTTCCATTTTTGCCCAGGGTATGTTGCCTAGTTCACTGCTTATACTCCCAGGGTCTTCTTCATGGCTTCATACACCACGTAGCTGATGCCGCCTGCAGGCAACACCTTCAGTAATGTGGGGGTCATGCCTCGGTATAGCCCTGGCCAGCCCTGCTGGGCCAGGATCCTCCGGAAGACTCCACACATGGTGGGGTTCGAACCCTCCACAGTGTCTGTGGGAACAGAGGCAAGCTCAGGGCCTGGGCCAGAGATGACTTGGCATCAAGGGGTGGGAGTGGGGAGTGGGGAGCTGGAATGTTGGGAGGTGGGGACTGAAGCCAGGAGCAGAGGGTCTAGGGTGTTAGCAGAAAAGAAGCTTGGAAGCCTTTCAGAGGAAATTGGTCAGTTTACAGAGAGTGAGGAATTTTCAGGATTTGTTTTAGGAAACATCTTAGAAAACATTGCAACTTCAATATTCATTGGAAGGACTGATGCTAAACTGAGGCTCCAGTACTTTGACCAACTCATTGGAAAAGACCCTGATGCTGGGAAAGATTGAGGGCGGGAGGAGAAGGAGGCAACAGAGGCTGAGATGGTTGGATTGGCATCACTGACTCAATAGACATGAGTTTGAGCAAACTCCAGGAGATGGTGAAGGACAGGGAAGCCTGGCAGGCTGCAGTCCATGGGGTCACAAAGAGTCACAACTCTTTGTGGGGTCACAACTTAGCGACTGAACAGCAACAAAGATCTCTTAGAGCTTTGCAGTGTGCTAAGGGGTAGTTTGGGGACATTTTCAAGATCAAGGTGGTAAGCTAAGAACCTGTTTGGGTATTTGAGGATTTGTTTAGGAGTTTGAGAGCCCATTTGTGGGAGGCACATTTGGGAGTTCCCAGGATACTGGGGGAGGTGGTTATAAGTTTGGGAATGTCTATGTCAGTTTTCGAAAATTTAGGAACCATTTGCCTTTTGGAGCCAGATGAGGCCTGAGTCTGATTTGGACAAGTTGGGGGGTCATTTGGGGACTATATGTCTTGAGGTCAATATGGGGGCCTGAGTCACATTCAAGGAGGTTTGTGGGAGTCCTTTGGGAGCTGGGTGTTCATTTTAGTGATATGTAGGGTTACTTGAAGGGACTGTGATCAGGTTTGGGGGTGAGTGTAAGTTTGGGCGAGTTCAGGGGTTAGCAAAGATGGCCAGGATCAGATATGGAGAGTCCAGGAGTCAGTTTGTGTGTGTGTTGGAGGGGTGATGAGAAAGTTCAGAGAGCAGAGGCAAGGGGTGGTGGTACGCAAGGTTGCCAAAAGAGCCAGGCTGACCTTGGGCTTGCATCCTGGTGCGCACCAAAGTCAGCGGGTAACTGGCCATTTGTCCACAAGTGGTGGACAGTGTCACAGACGACAGACTGACCAGGCCACTAGGGTCCTTCATGTCCTTGCCTGACTTCAGCCAAAGACACCTGAGCATCTAGGAGAGAAGAAGGCCAGGAGGAAGCTCTCCGTGGGCCTGGGTTCACACCACCCCTGCCACCCCCTCTGCGGGACCCACACCTCATAGACGGCCAGGTCGGTGCAGGCATACGGGATGATGCCGAGCATGTTGGGGAGGTACCCGCGGTAAAGGGCGCGGGTGCCCTCCTGCTCCAGGATCTGCCTGGCACAGTCCAGCAGCCCCTTGTACTGGCCAGTCCGGCGCAGGGTCAGCCGCGTCTTCAGCACCTAGGGAGGATGAGGAGTAAGGCGGCTTATTTGAGCTAATCGTCTCAATGACCCCCCGGCACAGGAGGCAACTGCTCAAGAATGCACACAGCTGGGTTTCAAACCCAGCTGCCTCGGCCTGTAAGTGCTCTCAACGGGTGAGGGAGGGATTTCGTCGGCAGTTCAGTGGTTAAGACTCCATGCTTCCACTGCAGGGGGTACAGGTTTGATTCCTGGTTGGGGAACTTAAGGGGTCTTCCCAGGTGGCACTAGTGGTAAAGAACCCGGCTGCCAACACAGGAGACATAAGAGATGCAGGTTCAATCCCTGGGTCAGGAAGAGCCCCTGGAGAAGGAAATGGCAACGTGCTTCAGTATTCTTGCCTGGAGAATCCCATGGACAGAGGAGCCTGGTGGACCACAATCCATGGGGTCCCATAGAGTCAGACACAACTGAAAAGACTTAATATGCACTCAGGGGGAACTAAGATCCTGCGTGATATGAGATACAGCCAAGAAAATTAATAAAACTAAAAAAAAAAGGATGAGAGAAGTGATGTGAGCTGAGTGGGGTCTGCAGCGGCCCTAACCCAGCCAAACTTGCCCTACCTGGACCCCAGGTAGGCAGATCTGCCAGTTTTCCCAAAGAAGCCAGAAACTGGAGTTTTTATGAAATGCCCCGACATCAAAATGTTGGCAACTCAACAGTTGTGGAAAAGACAGCACACCGTGTGTGGTAGGCAAAATTGTCAGGTGGTCCCCATGGTTCCGGTCCCCCTCATTACACACGCTTTGTTTAATGGCCTCCCTTTGCCCTTGAAAACGGTCTACACCTGTGAGCGTGATGGACTGTGACTCTCTTGGATCAGGGTACGCAAAGCACAAAGGAAGAGGGATTTTGCAGATATACTAAAGCCCCTAACCAGTTAACTTTATTTTTTAGATTTTTTTAATTGGCATATAATTGCTTTACAATGTTGCCTTAGTTCCTGCTGGACAGTGAAGTGAATCAGCTTTACATGTACATATATTTCCTCCCTCTTGGATCTCCCTCCCACCTGTCCCCATCCCACCCATCTCCATCACAGAGGTGAGCTTCCTGTGTCACCGGTTGACTTAAGTTAATCAAGAGAAATCATCCTGAGTGGGCCTCACTCAATCAGGTGAGCCCTTTAAAAGAGTCAGAAGAAGAGATTGAAGGTTCAGAAACAGTTTTGGATTGGTGTTTTATATCTTGGCCATGCTTCTCGGCTCGCAGGATGTTAGTTCCCCAACCAGAGACTGAACTCAGGTCTGTGGCAGTGAAAAAAGTGTGGAATCCTAATCATTGGACCGTCAGGCAGCTCCCTAGGGTTGGTCTCAAACAAACTGTTATGGAGAGGACCACATGGCAGGGAACAGTGGGTGGCCTCTGGGAGTTGAGGACTGTCAGTCCTGCAACCATAAGAAACAATCCTGGTAATAACCAGGGAGCTTGGCCGAGGACACCCGAGCTTCAGATGGGTTCATTGGTAGCGCAACCAACTGACACCTTGATTTCCACCTGATCAAATCCTGAACTGAGGACCCGACTAGCCAGTGCCCAGACATGACCCACAGAAACAATGAGATAATAAATCTGTATCATTTTAAAAGCTCTTGAGTGTGGTAATTTGTTATGTAACAATCAAAATAAAAACACAGATGCAAACTATTATATATAGAATGGTAAAGAAGGTTCTACTGTATAGCACAGGGAGCTTTATTCCATATCCTTTAATTAACCCTAATGGAAAAGATATATTTTTCTTTAATGTATTTATTAAAAATTGCATATGTATGACTGAATCACCTTGCCATGCAGGAGAAATTAACACAACATTATAAATCAACTAATTTCAAAAACAAAAACACGAAGAAACTCAACCAGACAAGGGCAAGAATTATGTGAAGAAAGCTTTAAAAGACTGTTTAGGGGACAAAAAAGGAGACTTGACCAAATGGATGTATTCTTGGATATGTAGACCCAATATTGTATAGAAAGTGAAAATGAAAATTTTAGTTGCTCAGTCATGTCTGACTCTGCAGCCCCATGGACTGTAGTCTGTCAGGCCCCTCTTCCATGAAATTCTCCAGGCAAGAATACTGGTGTGGGTTGCCATTCCTTCCTCCAGGGGATCTTCCCGACCCAGGGATCAAACTTGGATCTCCTGCATTGCAGGCAGGAGCCACTATCTGAGCCACCAGATGGCAATAATCTCTAATCTCATTTGAGTTTAGAGTAAATGAGTAAAAAACAAATACCAATGTGTGATTTTGTTTTCTGAACAAGGCAGATTACTTCTAACGTTTTGAAAGGAAAAAAAAAATCAATGGAGAATAGCCTGGAAGACTAATAAGAGAAGGGATAGAGAAAAATAAGACATATTCAAGCCTCAAAAATGAAAGACTGGGCTGGGACTTCCCTGGGTGTCCAATGGTTAAGACCCTAATCCAATGTAGGGGGCGAGCATTCAATACCTTGTTGAACATATGCCACAGGGTGCTGCCAAAAGAAAAAAAGGGGGCAAAACTACATAGACAGTAACATGATCAGTGGTTGTTAGGGGCTGGAGGAAGGAGGGAAAGGTGGGTAAGTGTAGTACAGTGACTTTTTAGGGCAGTGGAATTTTTCTGCATGATGCTATTATGGTGGCTGCGTGTCACACGTTTGTCAAAACCCATAGCAAGTCACAACGCCAAGGGTGAACCCTGATGTCAACCATTGGCTTTAGTTAATAATAATGTATCAATATTAGCTCATCAATTGTAACCAATGTACCACCCAAATTCAAGTTGTTATTGATAGCGGAGACTTGGTGTGTAACCAAGATATATATGGGAACGCTCTTGTCCTTTTTACCTAATTTTTCTGTAAACCTAAAACTGTGCTACAAAATAAAGCCTACTCATTAAAAAAAAATTAGAAGATTATTTAAAAAAAAAAATTAGAAGTGCATGAAGAGAACCTGAGTGTCAAGAAAAGAAACAGTGAAAGTGTTAGTCAGTCATGTCCAACTCTGCAACCCCATGGGCTGTAGCCCACCAGGCTTCTCTGTCCATGGGGATTCTCCAGGTAAGAATACTGGAGTGGGTTACTATTCCCTTCTCCAGGGGATCTTCGCGACCCAGGGATTGAACCCAAGAAGAAGAAGTTCAGAAATAAACCCAGGGACTTCCCTGGTGGTCCAGTGGTCTGGCTTCTACTGCAGGGGGCACAGGTTCCATCTCTGGTGGGGGAACTAAAGATCCCACGTGTCAGGTGATATGGCAACAAAACAGAACAAACGAACCCCACCAAAACAAATATACCAAGGTATATAGGAATTTGGGGTTTCCCCAGTGGCTCAGCAGCAAAGAATCCACCTGCATTGTAGGAGCTGCAGGTTCAATCCCTGGGTCGGGAAGATTCCTTGGAGGGGGATCTACCCCCGCCAAGTATTCCTGCCTGGAGAATCCCCACAGACAGAGGAGCCTGGCAGGCTACAGTACTTGGGGTTGCAAGGAGTTGGACATGACTGAAGCAACTGAGCATGTGTGCATATAGGAATTTAGTAAATTACAGTGGTGGCATCTTGGGTCATTGGTGATGGAGAGGAGAGGACCCATTCAGTAAATAGTGTTGAGATGACTGGGTAAGCCATCTGGAATACAACTTTGATACGTGTCTTACATAAAGAGGAGGAGGAGGGGGCAGGGAAGGAGGAAGCCATAGCAGCTGACACCCAATCATCTTGTTTCATCTTCTATGGGGCAGATACTCTTACCTCCATGGGGTTGATGAGCGTCTGGGAAGTGGCCACAGCCAGAGAGCCAGCAAGGAGACGTTCCTGAAAGGGTGGGGACTCGTGCACTCCGCAGAAGTAGTTTTTACACTGGGATGGGAGAAAGGAATGTGAGAACTAGCCTCCTTTCCTTCCTGAAGCTCACCCAGGGGAAGAGGTGTGGGACCTGGAGGATGAAAATATGTCTTGGGAGCTTCTCTGGTGGCTCAGTGGTAGAGAATCTGCCTGCCAATGCAGGAGATGGGGGTTTGATCCCTGATGCGGGAAGATTCCACATGCCTCGGGGCAACTAAGCCCAGGCGCCACAACTACTGAGCCTGTGCTTGAGAGCGCAGGAGCCACAACTACGGAAGCCCGTGCCCTAGATGGGGCTCACTCTGCAACAAGAGCCCTAGAGTCCTTACTCTGCAATAAGAGAAGCCACTGAAATGAGCAGTCTGCACACCACAACTAAAGAAAGCAGAGGAGCCTCCACTCGCCACTACTAGAGAAAGCCCATGCACAGCAACGAAGACCCAGCACAGCCAAAAAGAAATACATTAAAATCCTTTTTTTTAAAGTATGTTTTGGATAAACATCTGGGCTTTAGGGGGTCGTGGGTACTCGGAGAGGTGACAGCTTGAGGGTGGGACTGGGGAAAGCAGACCATCCCCTCCCCACCCACCTGTTCGAAGACAGAGAACTTGATGGCGTACTCTGGAGCAATCTTGAGCACGTTGATACCATTGCCCCTCCACAGTGAACGGATGCCCCCTTCCTGGATCAAGCTTCGGAGACCTCCCAGCAGATTCATGAAATTCTTCTTGGAGGAGTAGACCTGGAAATATGGAGCCCCTGTCAGCCCTCTGAGGAGCCCTTCACCTCATCTCCATTCAGCCCCCATCTTTTTTGGGGGGGCATGTGGGACCTTCGTTCCCTGCTAAGTCACTTCAGTCGTGTCCAACTCTTTGCAACCCTATGGATTATAGCCCGTCAGCTGTCCATGGGATTCTCCAGGCAAGAATACTGAAGCAGGTTGCCATTTCCTTCTCCAGGGGATCTTCTCAACCCAGGGATTGAACCTGCCTCTCTTATGTCTCCTGCATTGGCAGGTGGGTTCTTTACCACTAGTGCCACCTGGGAGGCCCTGACCAGGGATCAAACCTGTGCCTCCTGCTGTGGGAGCACAGAGTCCTAACCACTGTCGGACTGCCAGGGAAGTCCTGCCCCTTCTAACTCCAACTCCACTCTCAACCCCACCCTTGTCTCTCTTTCCGATTTACATACTCACCCCCTCCCTGAACTCCATCAGCTCCACTCTCATCCATCCACACCCCAATGGCCCCAGTGCCGTGGTCCCCACACACCTGCATATACACCTTGGCACGGTCCAGGGGGGCCGTGCCCGTGCGAGACACTGCCCCAGCCATGGCTCCTGAGAGGAGGAACTTCCACAAGGCTCCCTCATTATCCACTTCCAGGACATCCATGGGGACCATCAGCTGCTCCCCTGTATCCAGCACCTGCAGGACAGACCCAGCTCCCACCCACACTCATCCAGGCTGGAGGTCCTTTTCCTGACACATCTTTAGAACCTGCCCTCCCCCTCAGCTCCAGTCCAAGGCTTGCCCTGGTCCCCACAGCTTCCAGGTGGCATTCTACCCAGGCCGGCTTGGAGGGGAGTGGGCCATACAGAGAGGGCGGGCAGGGCGACCTTCTCCCTCTGCAGTCCCAGCTGCAGGGTCTTCAGGGCCTATGGTTCCCAAGCTCACCTGCTGTGATGGGGGATGCTCCGGTTCTCTTTCCCCCAGGTGCCCAAACACGTACCCGTATACATGGGTACAGCCCAGGTTCCGGGAGGGGGCTGGGGGTGGGGCTGGGGGACCGGTTTTGGTGAAGAAGGCCTTGACCCTCTTAAACAGGTTCTGGACCCGCAAGCTGGGCTTCTGAGCTTGCTCCCGTTGGGCTCCCATCATAGCTGGAGGGTCAGGACACTCAGGCTCAAAGCTCTGGCCAGAAGTTGGCCCATCCAGCAACTGTGTGGGAGGGGTGCTTTGTAAATTTGGGTCCCAGGGGATGATAAGGTCACAGTGGTCCTTGTGACCTCACTGCATATGGCAGACAGAGTGAGTGTCTCCTCCCCATCCCCACCAGAGGTCCAGATCACAAACGCTCTAAACCCACGAATGTGTTACGTTATATGGCAATATAAGGGAGAAGGAGTGGATTAAATTTGCAGATAGAATTCAGGTTATTAATCAGCTGATGGGGAGATGGAAAGATGACTCTGGATTCACCCTAGGGGCTCAATGTAATCTTGCAAGTTCTTCAACAGGGAAAAGGGAGACAGAAGAGTCAGTGTTAGAGGGATTGGAGGTGAGAAAGATTCCACAGGCTGTTGCTGACTTTGAGGATGGAAGAAGAAGTCCACCCCAGTTAGCAGATTCTCCCCTGGAGCTTCCAGAAGGGGCCAGCCTTGCTGACAGCCTAATTTTAGCCCAGTGAGCTCCATGTCAGGCTTCTGACCTCCACAACAATGTGTTGTTTTAATCCAGTAAGTTCATGGTCCTTTGTAACAGCAGCCACAGGAAACGGACACATTGCCTTTCATTGTCATGTCAACAGGAGATGGAAGTGGAGGAGAAGGGGAAGTCTTCAGAGTTCTGAGAGAGAGACACACCGTCAGTCTCTGCAGTGACATGGGCATAGGTTTGGAGTCAGAGGGCCCCGAGTTTGGATTCCATCTCAGACTCTTCTCGCTGTGTGACCTTGGGGTCCCTGCTTTACTTCTCTGAGCTTCAGTTTCCCCATCTGGAGATTGGAAGTCATGATTGGCTCTACCACACAGCATTGTCAATAGGATCCAGTGAGAGCCTTTGTTGGGAGCATCTCCACTGTCCAAATTGTCTGATCAAAACCCCTGATGTCATCCTTGATTCCTCCTTTTCTCTCTTGTGCAGTCTGTCACTACATCCTGTGGGATTAATCTTCAAAGTATATCGAGAATCTGGCTGCTTCTTATCATGTACATGGCTACCACCTTGGTCCAGCCCATTGTCACTTACCTGGACCAGTGCAGTAGCCTGCACCCCTGTTCCCCAGCTCCAGACCTAACGGTTTAAAGTCTGTCTTCCCCGCAGCGACCACCAGAGGGCGCGCATGAGTACCTGAGTCAGGGCCCACCCCTCCTCCCCGCACAGCCCTCCAGGGCTTCCACCTACCCGCCCAAGTCCTCCTCGCAGCCCACAAAGTCCTGCTCTACTTGCCCCATCCGCTCCCAGCCCTCCCTTCCTCCCTCTCTCCCACTTGCTCTCTCCGCTGCAAACAGGCCTCCTCGCTGTTCCTCCAACACACCAGGCATGATGCTGCCTGGGGACCTTTGCCCCTGCTGTGCCCTCTGCCTGGGATGCTGTTTCCCTAGGTACCCGCATGGCTCCCGCCCTCACCATTTAAAACTCTTTATTCAAACATTACCTTCTCCTCGACCACCCTTGCTGTTATCATTGTTTAGTCGCTAAGTCGTGTCCCACACTTTTGCGACCCCATGGACTGTAGCCTGCCAGGCTCCGCTGTCCGTGGGATTTCCCAGGCAAGAACACTGGAGTGGGTTGCCATTTCCTTCTCCAGGGGATCTTCCCGACTCAGGGATCGAACCTGCATCTCCTGCATTGGCAGGTGGATTCTTTACCACTGAGCCACCTGGGACACCCTAAAATAGAATATTACTCAGCCTTAAGAAGGAAGGAGATTCTAACACCTGCTGCAACATGGATGACCCTTGAGGACATGATGCCCAGTGAAATAAACCAGACAGAAAAGGGCACATAGTTGCATGATTCCAGTTCTGGAGGTCCCAGAGGAGTCAAATATGGAGACAGGAAGTAGATGGTGGGCCCAGGGGCTGGGGGAGGGGATGGGGAGTGAGTGTTTAATGGGGACAGAGTTTCAGTTTGGAAAAATAAGAAAGTCCTGGAGATGGATGGTGGGGATGGTTGCATGACAGTATAATGTACTTAATATCATAGAACTGTGCGCTTAAAATTGGCTGAAAGAGTACATTTTATGTAACGTGTATTTTACCACAATAGAAAAATATTTAATTTTCTTGTTGTTTTAAGCCTCTTGTTTTTGATACCTTTTTACAGTAGCCCAAGGAAAAGAACACACTTGTGTAATTAGAAAAACATACAGGACAAATTAGAAGGGCTCTTGAATGTGGACTTGCCCCTGCACCCACTTTACAGATGTGGAAACTGAGGCTCATGGAGTCATTTCCTGGTCTCTGTGAATGATGGATGACAACCCATATGTCTTCCCTGTGAGTAGTTAGAGGTGCTCCCACATCCACCCACCCTCTTCCAGTAAAAACCACAATGAAAGAGCTTAGAAAATGTATTCCTTTGTTCTTTTCCTTCGAAATAACACGCACAGGCAGGGCACAGGCAGGGAGGTGGGGCGTAGTGTGGGTGGAGGAGGTGGAAGCATTGGGGGAGGGGGTCCTCCCACCCCCCAAACATCCCAGTTCCTCTTTCACAGTCCTTGAATGGGGTTCCCCAAGGACTTGGAAGGAATGGAGAGGGGGTTCCCCAATAATACTAAGTTCAGCGTCCAAATATAAAGTGCAGAAGGTACAGGGTGGGGGGCTGGGGCAAGTGGGGGGATGGGTTGTCAACTCCTCTCTGGTAGAAAAATAGACCTGGAGTGAATTTGGGGGCTTAGGGGGTTGGGTTTACTGCTCCTGGTTTCCAACTCTGAAGTCAGGGGAGGGGCTGGCAGTGTTGGGGCGTGTGTGCGTGTGGGGTCCCCTTAATGTGATCCCAGCTTCAGATTGCCTGCTTGCCGGCCCGAAGAGAGAGGGAGCCAGGCTCCGGGGATTGTGGTCAGCCTAGAGGTGGGAAGAGGGTGTGAGACCAGCAGAGTGCTGGAGGAGCACTTGAGCATGCCATTCCCCGCAGCCCAACCCTGCCCCCGGCCTAGGGGCATGTCCGTGCTGGGGAGCTGGGGGTCCAGCGTCCGTGTAGGGCCTGGGCGGGATGTCTCCTCCCCTTGCCAGCATCAGGTGGGTCAGGACAGTGGGCACATCCTGTGGGTTTTCAGGCTGGGAGGCTGGGACCTGGGCTTCCTGCAGGCTCCAGAGACTTTGGGGTTTGTGCCATGGGGGCAGGTCTCTGGTGTGTGTCTGGAACGGGAGTGTGGGATCCAGGATGCTGACTGGCCTAGTGGGAGCTAGCTGGGGGCTCTGAGCTTTCAAGGTCCAGTGCCTGGGAGGGTCCAGGTCGGAGATCAGGGGTTAAGGGTTGGCATCCAGTGCCTAGAGGTGGCAGGGTCTGCCTCTTATGGGTGAAGTCTTAACATCCAAGGCCTGTGGTGCAGGGACCTGGGGTCCTACAGCTGTAGTCGCCTGGAATCGCTCCTCTGCCATCGGGCTCACGAGATTGTGGTTTGAGGAGTGAGGATCTGGCAGGTCAGGGCTTGGGAATCTGGGGTCCGTGGTTGGGGGTGTTGAGGGAATGATGCTTGAAATGTGGGGATCGGGGAGTTGAAGCAGCAGGATCTGGGACCCTGTGTTGAGGTAAAGGGATTCAGGAATCCAGCAGTTGGAGGGAGGGGATTCGGGATCCAGTGGATGGGGTCCCAGGATCTAGGCCTCGCATTGTCAGGATACCGTGGCTGAGGTTTCTTGAGATCCAGAGTCCAGTGGTTGAGCTTGGAGATTCAGGACTTGAAGCAGAAGATCTAGGATCCGCCAGTTTAGGGCTGGGGATCTAGGATCCAGCACTGCCTGAGGACACTGGATCCGGTGCCTGAGGCAGCTGGTGGGGGGGCGGTTAGATACTGGGTAGGTGCTGCTGTGGTTGGGGTGTCAGGATCCATTAGCTGGCTTGTGGGGGATCCAGTGGTTAAGACATGGAGGTCCAGCACTCAGTACGGGGGTGAGGGGACAGGAAAACGTGGGATCCAGTGGCTGAAGTGTGGGGATGCAGGACCCAGTGGATGAAGTATGGGGATCCTGTGGTTTGAATGGTAGGGTTGGGGGAGGACCTGGGATCCACTGGCTGTCTCTTCGGTCTCCAGTGGCCCAGGTGTGGGGGGACATCATGATTGAGGTGAGGGATCTGGGGGAGGGGAGGTGGGTTCTGGGTCCCTCACCTGGACGTGACCCCCAGGGCCTGCTTCATGTTCTCGTAGACCACATAGGAGATGCTCACAGCAGGGATAACCTTCATGAAGTTGGGGGCAATGCCCCGGTAGAGGCCCCGCACGCCCTCCTGGGATAGGATGTGACGGAGGAGACCCAGCATGGAGAGCTGGGGGGCTCCCTCCATGGAGGCTGGGGAGGGGTGGGGAGGTCAGGTAAGGCCAGAGGGCCCCCTCTCACTTCCCCCTCTTTCCCCACCACCCCCACCAGGCTGGGCCAGGCGGTCAATGCAGCAAGAGGGACTAACAGTGGGACCTGCCACTCCAAGTTGGGGCTTCTACTGGTCTTGGACTTGGCTGCTCAACTTTTCACCCCAATCTGGAGGGCCCACATTTGGGGATGATGAGAAGCAGAGCAGGTATGTGTGGAAGGGGAGGTGGGAGAGGACAGAGAAATGTCCTCTTCCTGGAGCTCCATCCCTTCCCTCTTCTCTCAGCTAAACTCTGACTCATCCTTCCATCCTCCATCCCAAACCAGCTCTTCAGGGGAGCCCTTCTTGGTGCCCCAAGTCTGAGTCTGGCTTTTTCCCCTCCCCTTCATTCAACCCTAAATCCATACTTAATTTTGGGATGATTTATTCAGCACCTTCCTCTCCAGCCTGGAAGCCCTTTGAGGGTTGGGAGGCTACATATGTGTTATGTGTGGATAACCCCTGGCAAAAATCCCAACACAAATGCTAAAATCCCTATAGAAATTCTCAAAAAAAAAAAAAAAAGAAGAAGATTGAGGGATAGTAGAGGGGAGGAAAAAAACCTCAAGAAACAATCCAGAGAAACACAATAGAACAACTGTAGCCTGTAGCCTGGCCCTGATGCTCCCTGGCCTGGCTATAACCCAGCCTTGCAAATTAGAACTCAAAGAACCCGCCCAGAAAGCTTGCCTCCCAACTGAGATCGCTGGGATGCTCATCCAGTACTGATTGTGTCTGTTCTCCTGCTTAGGATAAGGGGCTCCCATTCCAGTGTCACAAAAGGGTAAACTGTGACCCAGAGAAAAGTCAGGACTTGAGTCAAGGCCAATCCAAATTCCAGGAGGATCCCAGCCTGGGACTCTGCTTTCTCAGGAGGAGGAGCTGGGGGATGGGGAGATGGGCCCGAGTCGTGAGACCTTCCCTGTCTCCTTGTCCCACCCAGGCCTCACCTTGGGCCTGCATGCGGGTCCGGACTAGGGCCAGTGGGTAGCTGGCTATCTGGCCGCACGTGCTGGAGATGGTGCCACAGGCCAGAAGGACGAGGATGCCCGGGTCAGCTGAGTCATGGCTATACTGCTGGAGCCACTGGTTCTTCAGGGTCTGGGAGGGGTGGAGAAGGAAGGAGGGTGGGAGGGAGCTAGGTGACACCAGGACCCTGCTGGCTGGCTTCTGTATCCTGTAACAGTCGGTCTTAGCCATGCAGGCTCTTGCTTAGACCTCACCTAAAGGGGACTTTCCTGGTGGTCCAGTGATTAAGACTGAGCACTTAAAAAAAAAAAAAAAAGACTGAGCACTTCTAATGTATGGGGCCTGGATTCCATTCAGTTCCCAGTGGGGGAACTAAGATCCCACATGCCTGCTGCACCATGGGGCCAAAACCCCCAAAAACCTCACCTAGACTCTTTCTGGGCTTCCCTGATGACTCAGATGGTAAAGGATCTGCCTTCGATATGGGAGACCTGAGTTTGATCCCTGGGCGGGGAAGATTCCCTGGAGAAGGAAATGGCTACCCATTCCAGTACTCTTGCCTGGAAAATCCCATGGACAGAGAAGCCTGGTGGGCTACAGTCCATGGGGTTGCAAAGAGTCAGATGCAACTGTGCACACTCACACAGACCCTCTCTGGTATGTGGAATGATGGCCCCCTATTGTTCCTGCCCTAATCCCTGGAATCTGTGAATAGGATACCTTTCTTGGCAAAAGGGACTTTGTAAACAGGATTAGGTTAAAGATCTGGAGGTGGGAGATTATCCTAGAGCTTTCAAGTGGGCTGGATGTCATCACAAGTCTTCTGAAAGTCAGAGAAGGAGATGCGATGACAGAAACAGACACGAGAGACATGAGGTGGGAGAAGAGGCCATGTTGCTGACCTTAAAGATGGAGAAGGGGCCATGAGCCAATAAACGTGGGCCACCAGAAACTGGAAAATGTAAGAAAATGGATTCTCTCCTAGAGCCTCCTAAAGGAAAGAAGCCTTGCTGACACCTTGATTTTAGCCCAATTAGACCTATTTTATGGGTTTCTCTGGTGGCTCAGTAAAGAATCCCCCTGCCAATCAGGAAACATGGATTCGATCCCTGGGTTGGGAAGATCCCCTGGAAAAGGAAATGGTGATCCACTCCAATATTCTTGCCTGGAAAATTCCATGGACAGAAGAACCTGGCAGGCTACAGTTCGTAGAGTTGCAAAGAGTCAGATATGACTGATAGGACTAAATAACAATTACTATCCCCATTTCACTGATGAGAAACTGAGGCTCAAGGGAAGTTACTTGCCCAAAGCCACAAGATAAAGGTGACAATCAACATTCAGAGTCACCCCCAAGTCCAGAGCTATGCTCTTGGCCAATCCCTTCTGAGGCCTTCTGTGAGGCCTCTGTAAGTCCAGGATCTTTTTTCTGACCTTGGGACTGGAAAGGCTCATAGGTTGCATTTCCTGAGTCAATCTTAATCCATTGCTAATGGCTTCCCAGAACTGTGTTGAGAGAGACTCAAGTGTGGTAATGGATTGGTGATGTCTGGTCTGGGTATGGAAGGGGCAAATGACAAGTATTTACTATACTGACTTTGGGGCTAGAGCTGCATTAGCCAATTAGGTGTTTCATGAGTTTTTAAGAGCAGTTCTGTTAAAAAGAGGTTTTAACACCTGGATAAGTATGGCCAACACTGTGCTTAAAAAAGAGTAAATCATGTTTCTGCAGGCCTTCTCAGAGTCTTTAAGAGACTTATTAAGATCTTGAAATGTCAAGAAGGCACAGGGCTTCTCAAACTACTTAGACCTCTGAAATCCTTTTTAGGGTGAAGAATGAATGATATAAGGCTGTGTCTTATATCTGCCCAGGAGTCTTAATGGCTTCCTATCACCTTTGGAAGAAGCCCAAACTCGTGATCTTTGAGTCCTTGCTGACGTCAACTCTGTCCAGCCACTCAGGACTTCCACTCTTCAACAGCAAAACAACCAACCAATCTAATCAAAAAATGGACAGCAGACCTGAAAAGACATTTCTCCAAAGAAGACATTTATATGGCCCATGGGAACGTGAAAAGATGCTCAATGTTGCTAATTATTGGAGAAATGTAAATCAAAACTACAGTGAGGTATCACCTCACACTGGTCAGAATGGCCATCATTGAAGAGTCTACAAATAATAAATGCTGGAGAGGGTGTGGAGAAAAGGGAACCCTCCTACACTTTTTGGAGGGAATATAAATTGGTACAGCTACTGTGGAAAACAGTATGGAGGTTCCTTAAAAAACTAAAAATAGAGCTGCCATTTGATCCAGCAATCCCACTCCTGGGCATATATCTGGACAAAACTATAATTTGAAAAGATACATGCACCACTAATCACAATAGTTGAGACAGGAAAATAAATGTCCATTGACCATATAAATACTTACTTAAATAAGTATCATATAAGATGTGGTACTTATATACAGTGGACTACTAGTCAGCCATAAAAAAGGATGAAATAATGCCATTTCCAGCAACATGGATGGACCTAGAGATTATCATACTAAGTGAAGTAAGTCAGACAGGGAAAGACAAATACCATATGATATCACTTGTATGTGGAATCTAAAATACTACACAAATGAACTTATCTATGAAACAGAAACAGACTCCAGACCCAGAAAAAAAACTTATGGTTACCAAAAGGGAAAAGTGAGAGGGGAGGGATAAATTTGGAGTTTGGGATTAACAGATACAAACTGTTTGTGTGTGTCAGTAGCTCAGTTGTGTCTGACTTTTTGCAACCCCATGGACTGTAGCCCACCAGGCTCCTCTGTCTGTGGATTTCTCCAGGCAAGAATACTGAAGCGGGTTGCCATTTCCTTCTCCAAGGGATCTTCCTGATCCAGGGATCGAATGCAGGTCTCCTGCATTGCAGGCGGATTCTTTACCATCTGAGCTACAGGGAAGTCCCATAGATACAAACTACAGTATATAAAATAAACAACAAGGTTCTACTGTATAGTACAAGGAACTATATTCTATATCTTGTAATAAGCTGTAATAGAAAAAAAAGAGACTTTCACTCCTCCAAGAGACCAAATTCATTCCTGTGTCTGGTCCTTGGCATTGGCTATGCCCTCTGCTTTGTTCACACTCTCTTTTGATATATATTCAACACATCACTCCAGCATCACCTCTCAGAGGCATTCCCAGCCATGCCTCCTCCTGCCCACAGCTACTTTCGATTATACATTCTCTTTGTTGTCTTCTGAGAACTTTTCAGGATCTGAAACTATTTATTTGCTGGTTTACTGCCTTCTTTGTTCACTGGAGGGGTATCCCTGGAGGACAAGAATTATGTTGTACTCTTTGAATGCATGCGTTGGAAGGACTGATGCTGAAGCTCCAATACTTCGGCCATCTGATGCAAACAGCTGATTCACTGGAAAAGACTCTGATGCTGGGAAAGATGGAGGGCAAGAGGAGAAGGGGGCGACAGAGGATGAGATGGTTGGATGGTATCACTGACTCAATGGATGTGAGTTTGAGCAAACTCAGGGAGATAGTGAAGGACAGGAAAGCCTGGTGTGCTGTAGTCCATGGGGTCACAGAGAGTCAGACACGATTTGGCAACTGAACAACAACCTTGAATGCAGCAGCCAGCACAGTGCCAGGCACTTATGGATGCTTAGGAAACAGTTGCTAAACCAACAAATGAATGAATGAAGCTTTATCTCATTTGGCTATGTAGATGCTGGGTGCTGGTAGGGCAGGTAGGGTTGGCATGTATGGGGCATTTCAGATCAGGACCAGCTGTGTCATTTGTGGGACCCAGTGTGAAATAAAAATAAGTGAGGTCCCCTGTTCAAATATTACTGAAAATTTTAAGACGGGACTTTCCTGGTGGTCCAGAGGTTAAGAACCCATCTGTCAGTGCAAAGGATATGAGTTTGATCCCTGGTCTGGGAAGATCCCACATGTCATAGGGCAACGAACCCCGTGAGCCACAACTACTGAGCCTGAGATCCAGAGCCCAAGGGCCATAACCCCTGAAGCCCACGCACCCTAGAGCCTGTGCTCTGCAACAAGAGAAGCCACTGCAATGAGAAACCTGTGCACCGCAACTAGAGAGCAGCCCTCGCATGCCACAACTAGAGAAGGGGACCCAGGGCAGCCAAAAATAAATAAACAAATGAAAAGAAAACAAATTCAAGATGGCAACAGCAAAGCATTCAACCAAGCCCAGGGCCCTTTTGAGTTGGCAACTGGACAGGTTGCCTACCCAGGAAGCTGGGCTGGATACAAACATTGGGGCAGGGATGCCTGGGGACTTCTGTGTTAATTGGGAGACCCTGGTGATCCTGCTGGGAGATGGGAAAAGCAATGGATGAGGCCCCTGGAAGAGAAACAGCAAAAACACCCAGCTCCTTCCTCTCCTGCTAAAGGTCCCAAGATGCTAACCATGGGGTGTGGATTTTATAGTGACGATGGACACTGAAATGGGCAGACCTTAAAGAAAACATTGGCTTGGTGGTAGAGGCGTGTTTGACCCATGTTTTGGGAGGAGATGGGCATCTTTGAAGCTCAGCTTTGCCTGCTCCCTTGATTCTCTGAACTGGAGTGGTCCCCAACTTTCACACGTCCTGAGACCTGGGAAGACCAAACTACAGATGGAAAGTTCTTGTGGTAGGAAGTGGAAGAATGGCAGGGGATGGGGCTCCAATGCCTGAAAATGTTCCCCAGGATCCCATGGCCCATGGTGCTTTGCTTCTCCACCTATAGCTATGGAGGTCAACTGATTCAGACCCCCAGGGAGAGCAGACCCCACCCAGAGAAGGGAGTGCCACAGACCTCATAGACGGCCAGGTCAATGCCCGCGTAGGGGATGATGCCCAGAACGTTGGGCAGGTAGCCACGGTAGAAGGCTCGGGGACCTTCTCTCTCCAGGATCTGCCACGCACAGTCCAGCAGCCCCTTGTACTGGCCCGTCCGGCGAAGGGTCAGCCGTGTCTTCAGCACCTGGGGAGAACCCGGTTATCCCTGGAAAAGCTGCCTTTGGAATTACAACATCCAGGAATGAAGACAGCTGTGTGGAGACACCCTGAGAATAACTGAGTTAAAAGAACCGTTTGCTCTAGAATCTATCTTCTGCCTCTAATCTCTATACCAACAAACTGTTACATCTATCAGGGTTGCTTGTGGCACCCACTGCTAACTATCTCCCAATGTCCCTTAGCAATAGAATCTGTTATTTTCAGCAAGCACACAGCCTCTAGAAATATAGACTACATTTCTCAGCCTCCCTAGGTGTGTGGCCATGTGACTGAGTCCTAGCCGATGAAGGTGAAGAAGTATGCAAGGCTTTCAGAAAGCATCCTTAAAGTCAGGGAGGTGTTCCTTCCTTTGTTTTTCCTTCTTGGCTGGAATGTGGATGCTGTAACTGGAGCACAAGTAGCCATTTTGGTCCATAAGGAGGGTGCTGCATGCTGAGGTGGTAGAACAAGATAGACTCTTGTTCTCCAACACTCTGAAGCCACTTATACCATCCCTGAACTGCTCACCTCTGGACTTCATTTACATGATTTAAGTTTTCTATCACTCCAATCCTAACTGATGCCTGGTACAACCTGAAACTTGAAATGATTTCTCCAAAAACGGTTTCACTTGGAAATGATTCCCTTGGGGACAAGCACCCTGGAAACCAGGATCCTTAGAAGAGGCATATCCATCAATGGCTGGCCCCCACAACTGTTCTCTAAACAGTTAAACCAACACTGATCAAACCAGCCAATGCTGAAGGAAATCAACCCTGATTATTCACTGGAAGGACTGATGCTGAAGTTCCAGTACTTTGGCCACCTGATGTGAAGAATCAGCTCACTGGAAAAGACCCTGATGCTGGGAATGACTGAGGGCAGGAGGAGAAGGGGGCCCTTCTCATCCAGAGGATGAGGTGGTTGGATGGCATCATTGACTCAATGGACATGAGTTTGAGGAAACTGCAGATAGGGAAGGACAGGGAAGCCTGGTGTGCTTCAGTCCATGGGGTCGCAGAGTCATATACAACTGAGCTGAGAGTCAGATATGACAAACCAGTACTGTCCCCAGAAATCACATGTCAAACTGTGATACCCAGACCAGCTACACAAGAAACAGCATTGCTGTAATGAGTCTGAATCAGGAAGAGACAAAGTGATCACCCAATGCTTAGTGGATCAATGTGAAGTGGATCATCCCACTTCACACCTTGGAGTGAAACAGTGATTGCAGACCTCCCACAGTACAACGAGGTCTCTGCCAGGGCTCCTCCTTACCTCCATGGGGTAGATGATGGTTTGGGCCGTGGCACCAGCCAGGGAGCCAGCCACAAAGCGCTCCTGCACATGCAGTGTCTCCTGTTGCCCCCGGATGGCCCGCTTGATCTGAGAGGGAGACACAGAGGTGGCGGGACCTCAGGGCTTGGCCTTCCGTGGGCTTGAACTTCCCCTCTGCTGTCCTTCTGCTGGGGGTGTCCCATAGGGGAGCTGCAGACATTCCCGCACCCCCAGGCCAATCCTGCAGACCCCATGTCTACAGTCCATGCCTCCCCACACCTGCCCCCACCTGCTCATAGGCCATGAACTTGATTGCTGACTCAGGTGCAATCTTGAGCACATTAATCCCGTTGCCACGCCACAGGGAGCGCACACCCCCTTCTTGGATCATGCTCCGGAGGCCCCCCAGGATGTTGAGCCGGTTGGTCTTGGAGGCGTGGACCTGGGTGGGGGGAGACAAGGTGGCTTCGGGGTCCCTTCCAGGGGTCCAGGCCTGGGGAAAGGAGGGGGTGGGTCTCTCCAGGGCCTCTCACCTGCATGAAGACCTTGAGGCGGTCCAGAGGGGCTGTGCCTGTCCGGGACACGGCACCCGCCACCGCGCCCGCCACCAGCTGCTTCCACCACATGCCAGTCAGCTTCTCCTGCTCCGAGAACTCATCCGGGACAGTCAGGCACTCGCCAATATCCAGAACCTGGGGATGCAGAGGCTGGGGGTGTCATGACCCACTGGGGCTGGGAAGATGTGACTCTGCTCTAAACTGGGGCATCTCCCCCATGAATTCCAGGATACCCAGAGAGTCCACCAATCCAAGAGATCTCTCTCAGATCCCTACCAGATCTAGTCCCGCAGTCTCCATGAGAGGTAACATCCTTCCTGGGGACCTCCCAAATCCCATCAAAGCCTCCTATTCAAGCCTCTGCTCCATAAAGATCCCTCCAGGGCCAATGAAATCCCTCTGCAGGATTCCATCCATAGGGTCTCTCACATAAGGATTCCAGAAGATTCCTCCAGGGCCACACAAGATCCTACCAGGGGCTTCCCATATCAGGAGCCCAGTGGCTCTCTCCTGGGGTCTCCCCCTGATCCCAGGGGTCTCCCCCACAGAGATCATCCGCCCTCTAGCATCTCCACTTGTGGACTTCTTAACCAAGCCCCTCATAGGTCTCCCAGGGTGGGAATCTCTGGATCTCTTAAGAGATCCCAGCAGATCCCAAGGATGGATTCCCTCCAGATGCCATCAGATCCTATCAGAAGCATCAGTTAGGGATTCCCATCCCAGAAATGACAATCCAGTGCACTTCTTCCCTCAATATCTAATGGATCTCATCAGACCCTCCAAAAACAGTGGCTTCCTAACTTGTCTTTTCAGCAGCAGAATTCTTTATTCGGCAGAACTAGAAACCAGCAGAAGGAGAGCTCCATGGGTAGAAGGTGGGAGATCAGATGCCCCATCTGGTGAGCCCTCTCTTGCCTACCTCCCCAAGGCCCCACAGTAAGTCTGAAGGGCTCCCATCAGCTCCCATCAGTTCCCAGAGCCCCAGATGGAGGAAGAGGAGAGCAGAACCTCACCCTCTGGCTGCTCCCAGTGGCTCCTCCCACTAGAGTGCTGATCCAGCCCCTGCCCGTATGCCCTGGGGAAGAGAGGTCCTGACCACCAGGCTGGGATCATCACCCCCACCTCACCGTGGAATGCTTCCAGAAATACAGCACATCTTCCACATTCTCCAGCGAATGCAACAGGAAGTGGTCACGCCACTCCTGCCAGTCAATGGTCATGGTGCCATCACGGTCCATGCTGGTGAGGAGAGGGGCACAGGTGGGACAGAATCAGTGCCTGGGGCTGGGAGGTGAGTTGAGGGTGGTGGGAGATTCTGGTTTGTTTGGGGAGGAGACTGAGCTCCTTGGCACTGCGAAGCCCCCCATTTTACAGAGGGGCACACTGAGGCTCAGAGAGGGAAAGCAACTGGCCCAAGATCTCAGCTCCACTCCCTCCCTGGGATTGGGTCCAGGGCTCAGAGGCTCGAGGTGGCTGAGGGGGTCTTGGGGATGAGTTACCTGGGATTGTGGACCCAGCCACTCACCTGTGCAGGATTTTCTCTGCCTGTTCCAGCGAGATGGAAATGCCCAGGGCTCGGAAACTCTGCTGGATCTCAGAGACATCAATCTGACCTGGGGAGGGGGCCCGAGGGGGGGACCCTGAGTCAGAGGACCAGAATAGCTTGGACTGGGGATGTCTAACAAGACCAGGGCACACAGGAACCCAAGGTGAGGTGTGTGGCAGGGTTGTGGCGAGGGGCCCTTGACCCACTGGGATCAGAGAGGTGGAATTGGTTCATATTGGCAGGGACTTGCATTTGCTGAATGAATGAAGGATTAAGTCCAGGGGTAATTATTGGGGTTCCCATGCCACAGGGAGTTGAGGCCATGTTGGACATCCAGAAAATACGATGGGAGCAATGTGGGGAGGGGAATCTTTGCACCACAAATAATATGACTAATAAATAATAGGGTCGCATCCCATTAGGAAAAGGAGGTGGGATAGGCCAGCTGGGCCCTGAACCACCTAGCTGAGGGTGAGGAGAGCTCCCGAAATAGCCTGTGAGTCATCAGGGAGAAGCGGCCCTCCCCGCTTCCTCCTGGCATTGCCAGTTCTAACCCCCCTGGGGTCTCCAGGGCCCCCACAGCCCCATCCCCCAGTCTTACCATCCTGATTCCGGTCCAGACTGTGGAACAGAAGTAAAAGGCGCTGTTCCCGCTCCTGCAGGTAGAGGATAAACTCCTCCAGGTCAAGGCCGCCATCTGGGTCAGTGTCACCCTCAGGGGGGATGCCCTGGCAGGGGAGAAAGGTCAGAGGTAGCTCCTAAAAGCTGCTCTCACAATGTGGGGCATGACAAGCTTATGTCCCAGGAACCTGGGCCCATCACCCTGCCATCAGCTATCCCCTCAACAAGATGCCCAAGGCCATGGTAGGTCTGTGAGGTGGACAGCAGTTGTCCAACTTTCCTGGTGAGCAAAATGAGGCTCGTCAAGGTCAAGTAACTTGTCCAAGGTTACAGAGCTGGGAGGTAGGTAGGTGGATTTGGGCTCTTGTCTCTGCAACCTGTCCTTCCAGCTGTCTCTTATAAGAACTTGTCCGAGTGGCAGTTTCAAGAGCTCTCACTGGAGATGGCACTGAGCAATGTGGTAGCAAGGACACAACCACACTGAGCATCCACTGGGCCTCTGTTTACCCATCTGTAAATTGGGAGGGTGACTGGAGGTCTCAGGGTTCTATGGGGACAGTCCAGTGGCATGTGGGTCTTCAGGTGTAGAGGGATTGGGGTCAAGTTCCTGCTTGGAGAGGATCATCCCCAGCTGAGGGCAGCCTCAGATATGATTGGGTCCTTGGCTGGGACAACTTGGGGCATTGAGCCAAGTCCTAGAAAGGACAGGGAAGGGAATGTAAACATAGAGTCTGGGGCAGCTGCCTGGGAGAGTAGTGGGTGCCCAGAGCCGGGTAGGAGGGAGGGGAGGGCATGTTTCCTGTAGGTGGGTGCAGGCCATGTCTCTGGGTTGTGCAAAGAGTTCAGAGGAGGGTGTGTCCAGGGCAGTGGGCAGAAAAGCACGTGGCCCCATTCCCTGGCAGACATCCTCCACCCAGAGGGAGGAGGGGGACAGGTTTGGCAGCCTGAACTGCAGGCCTGGGGCCTTGGGGGTCCTATCTTGAGCGATCCCGTTAGGCCCGGACACGGGTGGGCACGGGCAAAGAGACAGGGACGCTCAAGCTAGGCACAGGTCCTGGAGTCCAGCACAGGCTGTCACGGGCGACTCCCGGCGCTCCATTCAGGGGCTCAGATTATCTGGCGCCAGCTGGGCCCAGCGCCGCGCACCGGGAGGGGTATCCCAGCGAGTGTACCTGTTGGGCGCCGCGGTCCGGATCGCCTCCGCCCAGCCGGGCCAGTCCCTGGCGCAACTCGCGAATGTCCACGCGACCATCCTTGTTACTGTCCAGCTCTTCGAAGAGGCGACCCCAGCGCTGACGCCGCTCGGCATCGCCCGGGCCCCCCCGCATGGCGCCAGCCCGGGGGGGAGGGGAGGCCCGGCAGCGGCGGCCTCAGCGGGGGCTTGACGGCTCCCCCTCCCCCCCCCGGGGCTCCGCAGGGCCAGCTCCGCGGCCACTGCCACCGCAGCCTCCGCGCTGCCTGCCGGGCTCCGGCACTTGTAGGAGGCGGTGACTGCTAGCCGTCGCCGCCCGCACCAGAACTTGCTTCTCCTTCCCCGACCCGCTTTGGGGGGAGGGGGCTGAGGGCGGAGCTGGGGGGTGGTGGTGGTGGGGTGGGTCAGGGATGCCCCGGTATTAGCACAACCTAGGGAGCACCACATTCATTCTGGAAATGGAGTGAGTGGCTGGAGAGAGCAATATCTCAGGTCTGGTTTCGTAGCTCCCTTTCTACGTGCCTCAGTTTACCCTCTGCCCAAGGAGGCGAGATAAGGAGATCTCAAGGATTGGGTTACGTAATCCCTTTCCACTTGACCTCCCGCCTCTACTAATTTTTATCAGGAACTAAAGTTCTCTTTTTGCCTGGACATTCTCAAGGACCAACTCTGCGCCATCTAGGCCTGCAACAGCCCTCCCGCTCCAATCACATTCCCTACGCGGCCACTGAAGCACAGTATCTAGCCGTGCTGTCATCCCGCCCGTGCGCCTCCTTTCTCGGTTCCACTCAGCCTGGGAAACGGAAGATCAACGCGCCGGGCTGCTGCAAAGTCGGTTTCCTATTGGCCAGAGCCGCAAGAGCTGTGCCCGCCCGTACCGCCTCTCCCACCCACCTAGGCGGGGCCTCCCCACTGACCCCGGGCAGCCTTCTGCCCCGCGGCCCCTGGCTCTCCAGGAAGTCTTAAAGAGGCCCCGACCTGATCCGGACACCGAGAAAATTGCTTTCTCCGGACCTGCCTGGGGAGGAGTCCCAGGCGCGGCTGGGGATAACGACCGCGTAACTGGAGGTGGGGCCCCAGTCTGTCGCGCTCCGTGCACCTGCCGAAGGTCCCTCCCACTAGTTTCGGGCGCAGTTTCTCGATTCACCTTTAGGGGGAGGGGCGCCCGGGCCTTTTGACAGCGAATAATAATAATAGCTAACGTTGATTCATTGCGTTGCATAAGCCTGGTCTTTTACTCACCTCTCGCGTCGTCGTCTCTAAAACCCTAAAACGTACGTGGGACTGGCTTTCGCACTTCACGGATGAGGAAATAGGAGGTTAAGCCGCTCACCCCAGTCCATATGCCCAGGAAGGGGCAAAGCAGAGATTTAACTAGACCTGGGATTCTTACCCATCGTTGATCTATGATCTGGAAGGCATTAATTTCCCCTTAACCATAACTCTTCACTCTCGAGTCTGCAGGATGGGGTCGTCTTATTACCATCTTCCTTTATCCAAAGATACAGCCGTGAGGGCAATATGCCCAGATAGGTGTGCTCTAACACGTGTGTTCCAGACAAAGCCTCTTACAGAGGGTCTCCTCATAGACGTTTTCATTCACAGGTGGCCCTCGCAGGTGCCCTACAACACAGGGGGATACAGGTATTTTCACACGGAGATGCCCCAAACAAATGGTTTCTCACAGTTGCATGCTTGACAGGTGGACCTCAGTACACACGAGCCCCCCTCAGATGTGCTTCTATGTCCGTGTGCCCCACGCAGGCGTGCTCAGGTCTCCCTCTCACGTGAGCTCAGTTCTATGCAGCTGTCCCTCCTGCAGGGTTGTTTCCTGCAGGATGTGTCTCAGCAGGTATTCCTCCACCCAGGAATGCGTTATACAGCCTCCCCCACCACAGGTGTATTCCATCTACATATTCATCCATATGGGACTTTTTCATATAACTGGGTCCCCTACAGGCGTACTTCAATGCAGGTGTGTCTTGTACAGGTGCTTCTAATGTCTTTCCACACGGCAATTCCTCCTGCAAGTCTTGTTCATTTCATAGGTGAGCCAGGGAGATACATTCCCAAAACAGATATGCCCCGCGCCACAGTGCCTCAGCCGGGTGTTTGTTAACAGGCAGGTTGCGTTCTCTACAGCTGCATTCCCCACAGGTAGGCTTCCCTTCAGCTACACTCCACATAGACGTGTTTCAAAGCAGATGTGTCCCATCGGCGTTCTTACGCATCCGTGCAGATGTCTTCTTTACACGTTAGCTCTCATGCAGATGTGTCCCACATAGGTGTTTTTTTCTTAGAGGCTCCCCATCCCCGTCTGCCCAGGAGAAGAGTGCTTCACACACCGATGTTTCCATGCCCTGTGTGTTTCCACACCTGGACAATTCTACAGGTGTGCCGGCAGTGCAGGTGAGAGGCCGCTTTTACACCTGCGCGCTTACACTTCTTTTTACGCCTTCCGATTGTAGGATTGGGTTCCCGTTACAGGTGCGTCCGTGGCGCGGCCCCGCCCCCACTAGGCCCCGCCCTCTCATCTAGGCTCAGGTGCAGAAGCCGGAAGTGCGTTCCCCTCCCAGGTGAGTGACTAAACTTTCCGGGTCACGTGAGCGGGCGGAGCTGGAACAGTGCGACCCAGCCACTGACCGACGTACCGAGGGTTCGAGCGAAGGACCGGCATCCAGACCCGGAACGAGGTAGAAGGCGCCCGGACCAGGTAGGGTGGCAGGTCGTGCGGCTGGGCCTGCCGCCCCCTCCCCCACCCTCCCCTTCCCCTTTCCCTAGCCCAGGAACGCGCCGCCCCGAGTTAATCTTTAATCTCTGACCTCTGGCGGCGGGGAGGGGCGGGACTCGCGGGTGGCCGGCACGGGTCGCCCCTCCCAGGGGCCTGTGCCTGGATCCGGCCCCCTCCCCCACGCCCTGGCCTTTCTCCTTCAGCTCCCAGGTGCGGGGTCGAAGGTACCCCCGTCCGGAGATGCGGTAGGAGCGGCGCCGGCGACAAGCCCCTTCCCTGTGCCACCAGCCTGTCACCCGGCCCATGGCGAGCCCGAGCCTGGAGCCGCTCCTGGCGCTCGGCCTGCCACTGCTGCTGGCCCGCTGGGGCCGGGTCGGGGGGCAAGGTAGGTACCGGTCCGGGGCGCTGGGGGTCTGGGCTCTGAAGAGCTGTGTCCATGGAACACTGAGAGGTCAAGAACCCAGAGCGGGTATGTGATGCCTTGGGAGCAGGAGTCGATCGAGTCAGAGCTGGAGGGTTAGAATTTCTGTGTCCTTCCTTGGACGGTTGGAGTTGGTCTAGGAGAATTCCTGAGTTGGGTGGAATTGTGAGCTGCCGGGAGAGGAGGCCTGCGGGCCGGAGTCTCAGTAAGGTTGAGGACTCTGGGGAAATGTGAATCAGGAGGAAGCCTGCCTGGGGCTTTAGGCCCAGGTTGAGCAGACTGGCCTAAGGTGTGGACCCTGCCTTTCTGCCCTCTATTCTAGTTTCGGGTGCCTGGGGGGGAGGTGTGTGAGTCAGACACTCCGGGGAAATACAGGATCCGCCCAGCTCCTTAAGAGCTGAGGGAGGGCCGGGGAGGTGGGTTGTGGGGGGGAAGGGTTGGGTTTCCGGACACTATCCATTATAATAGCCCCCAACTCAGTGCAAACTGCAATCTGCTGTTGGTTGATTACCGTAAGGCCATCCCCTTCATGGAGGGTACCCACAGAATGAAAGACTCAGAAGGGCAGAGTTCTAGTGAGGGGAAATGCCCACGGATGATGAAGATGTTCCCAGTTGGGAAGGAATAGATGGGTATTCATTCATCTTCTCTGGGGCTTCCCAGATGGCTCAGCAGGTAAAGAATCCACCTGCCATGAAGGAGCTGTGGGTTCGATCCCTGGGTCGGGAAGGTCCCATGGAAGAGGAAATGGCAACCCACTCTAGTATTCTTGCTTGAAAATTCCGGTGGACAGAGGAACCTGGCAGGCTATACAGTCCATGGGTCACAAAGAGTCAAACACGACTGAGCAACTTAGCATTGTCTTCTCTACCACTCCCCAGCAGTTTCTACATCGAGCACTTCTACAAGTGTGAACACCACCGCTTCGCCCTCTGGCCCCAGCCCTGGCTCCAATGGAGCCCTGGTGAGTTGAGTGGGGAGGGTGGTATATAGGGGAGGAGGAGCAGAAGGGATTTTATTGAGGAGTCCCTCAGGTAGCGGATGGGAGGGCCTAGACTTTCAGGGGTGACTGGTTGGATTTGGTGGGGGGAGGCATTGGAGAACCCCTGTGGGAGAGACTAGGAGGCCAACTTGGCAAATGAGGAGACCAAGAATGCCTGGAAGGGAGTGAGCAAGAATACCCTGCCTGGCAAGGTCAGGAGCCCCCTGTGCCTCTCAGGGAGGGAGAAGGGGGAGCTAGAAGCTTAGGTGTGGCAGGCACTTGGAAGGAGGACCCCAGACACAGCAGGTGGAAGAGGCTGGAAGCCCAGGTATGATAGATGGGGATCAGGAACCCTGGGGGAAGGAACCCAGTCGCCCAAAGCAACAGGTGTTGGGGGAGGGGATTACCATCCCCAGAGGCTTCTTGCGGTCAAGGGGTGGACAGGATGTCCAGGTTCAGGGGTAACTCACACTGGTCCCCCCTCCCCCACAGTCGCAGGAGGCCACCACTGCCATCATCGTGGTTTTCTCCCTCCTGGCTGCCCTGCTCCTGGCTGTGGGTCTGGTCCTGCTGGTGCGGAAGCTACGGGAGAAGAGGCAAACAGAGGGCACCTACCGGCCCAGCAGTGAGGAGCAGGTGGGTGCCCGAGCTCCACCGCCCCCCAACCTCAAGCTGCCGCCTGAGGAGCGGCTCATCTGAAGGCTGGGGCTGGCCGCAGCCACCACCACTGCTCAGGACTGCCCGGCGCTCGCTCTCTCACAGCCACCGAGACACCAGCCTCTGATGGTTCTGGAGGACTTGGGGGGCCATGGGGCACCTGCCGGGCGGGCCCTGCGAAGCATGCCGCCTCTGCTTGACTCTGCCTGCAGTTGGGGTGCCAGGGCTGGGGACCCACCTCCTCGCTTGCTGCACCATCGGTTATCTGTCCCGCTGCCGCACAGGCCCGACACTACCCCCCTCTCCTTTCCTTTCAGTTCTCCCACGCAGCTGAGGCCCGGGCTCCCCAGGACTCCAAGGAGACGGTGCGGGGCTGCCTGCCCATCTAGGTCCCCTTCCTCTACCCATCACCCTTCCTGGTTGTGTGACCTTGGGGGAAGGCAGAGCCCT